TCTGATTAGCACCGTTGGCTCCGCACGGTGCGAAAAAATTTCAACATCCACACATACACGTGGCAACATCGTTCCCTGCTGTGAAAACGTGGCAGGACCCTCCTGCAAGAGTCGCGAGACTCAGTGAGGCTTTCTTCGGTAAACAAGCGTCATGATAAAAGTGTCAATTTTACACGATTGAAGCTTTGCTAACCGCTACTGAAAGTTGAGAATGCAGCTACGGAGATGTTCACGCTCGTGCTGTCGCCGCTGCACGACGTCCGACGCTTCGCTCCACGTGCTGGGAGCTTCCTCATGAATTGCTTCGCCGTTGTCACGGGAGACGCTCCAGGCACGGGGAGCGAAACGTCGCGACGTCGTGCCGAGCATCGCGAACGTTTGCTGCCTCTCAGCGGCGTTGACAGTCGCAGGTCATCGCTCATGACATCATTACAAATCAAGTCAACTTGCAAGGCGCCACACAGCATCCGCTCATTCTCGACAACAGAGGACGACTCGGAGGCGCGAGAAGGAACCAAAGACAAACTCAACTATTCAACTTTTTTATTATCAGCTAAGGCCCGCTGAGCTGTATCGCTCTTTTTCAGCAGCGACCTGGCCACAAACGATAGCTCAACGAAGTGGCTTATCACGCGAACATTTATAGTAGCCAAATACTCTAAACGCGTGTTTATTAAGCGGTACAGTAGCTCTGCGGTCCTCTCTATATTAAGATATTTCCAGCCAAAGAATGAATGTTTCTACACGAGGAAGGACACAGTGCTAAAGAGCTTCAGCACGCACGCGTGACGAGGGAAGAGATGGAGTTGGCACCGCGCCGCCTCTTGTCGTGGCGAGCCCGGGCGCGGCTCCCCGCTACGCGCACGGGAGTCTCACGACGCGTGCCCGTGTGCCATCCAGCAACACTCGCCGCTGCGAAGCCACGCCATGTCATCTGGGCTCCACAAAACTCTGCCTTTCAATGTGAACGCAACTCCGTCGATGCGGCAGGTGCTGGCTGACGTGAGGGCGGCTCTGCCGTGAGGACCCTTACCCAGGGCGCGAGCCGCACACCTGGAGCGACTCGAGTAGCGATTGGGAATCTTGTTAGCGGAGTGAGAGACAAAAACAAATGACCTGCACATCACCAAGGGACGCGGTTTGTTCGTCTGTCCAGTTGGTGTGGCTATCGTTGCTGCTGCTGTGCCCTTCTCTGTGACAGACCTCACTCGATCGAACTCCCGCTGGTGGGTACACCTCCTACACATCATTCGATGTGTATGATCTGGTAAATATCAATACAATATAATTATTTAAGACCGAAACAGGAATACTTTTTCACAATTCTGGACAATCTCCTGATGAAGCTGTTGTAATCACCTGCGAAACGTCGTACTCAAATTGAAAATATTGTGATGGCAGGTTAACGACACATGTTTACGCAATCTAACCCAAAAATAAAATCTGTATTGTGGATAACACAACATCACTTTGCGATGTGTCGAGTGTGAAGTTGAGGTGGTGGGGGAGTGGGGGGCGATCACCCACCTCTCTACCACCCGGAGATCCGCTGCTACCCCCCCCCACCACCGCCACCACCGCCGTGCAACTTTTAATGAAGAGGACCCAACGCGGCCAATACCGTGCCGCTCGCTCCGAGAGCCCCCCCCTCTCTCTCACCCAACGGCGGCGGGAGAGACGGGGCGCTTGGCGAGGCGGAGATTGCCGATGAAAAGGCGTAAAAATAGCTGACTTCTATGCGAGCCGGGGAGCGGTTGCCGGGGCGACGGGCGAAATGGTGTCATGCGGTAGGCGGCTAATTGGAGACACGTGTCGGCTCGAACACGGGGACCACCGCTGCCGCGTTAACTCTTTCACCTGCGACGGCACCGCGCCCGTTACGCGCGGTGCGCGTGCCGTGACGGGCGCGTGCCGTGACTGACTGGCGCGTGCCGTGACGGGCGCGTGCCGTGACTGACTGGCGCGTGCCGTGACTGGCGCGTGCCGTGACGGGCGCGTGCCGTGACGGGCGCGTGCCGTGACTGACCGGCGCGTGCCGTGACTGGCGCGTGCCGTGACGGGCGCGTGCCGTGACGGGCGCGTGCCGTGACTGACTGGCGCGTGCCGTGACTGGCGTGTTCCGTGACTGGCGCGTGCCGTGACTGGCGCGGGCCGTGACTGGCGCGTGCCGTGACGGGCGCGTGCCGTGACGGGCGCGGGCCGCCACCGGGAGTCTCTGGGGGTGGCCCCAGGGGGGATCGGCAATCACGAGAAGGGCCACTTTTTGTTTTCGAATTCGGTAAAAAGAACCCACCCCCCCTTCCCCACCGTATTCCAGGAGCCGCACCGCGCGTGAACGTCGTCGCGAGGCAGTCCCCGAGAGAGCCACGCGCCGCTTCGGAGCCGCAGGCTGCCGACCCCGGGATTAGCCCCCCCCCCACCGCCGCCAATGGTGTTCCACCACCAAGTTGCCTGGCGCCGTCCCAGAGCCGGGCAGCCACGCGGACGCCGTGGAAGTCGCTCTTCAGCAAGGCCGCCGACGGTGCCCCCGAAGCAGTGAACACGTCCGGCACGGTGGGATTCACGTGATGCTTGTGTCGGGTGGAGGAGAGTTGACGACACGACTATCCACACGACCTAAGACCTCACCCAAAATAAACCAATTACGAATCATAGTATTGGTCGTGAAAGCCTGTGTATAACATTTTACACGCACCGTCCCGGTGAACATGCCAATGTTGGGTTAACGTTGGCAACGTTTCCATGTGGTGCCATGTTGACTGCAGACTCGGAATGGAGGGCTTCGGAGGCAAGGGTTGGTGAGTCTCGTCGAGATTTGTGAAAGTCCCCAACGTCCCCGCGAGAAGGCGAGCTGGTCGTGAGAGGCAGCAGGAGAGGAAGTTAGGCTCGTGAAGTTGTCCCTGCGGGGTGCTGAGCGGTGTCGCCGTCACTCACACAGGTGACAGTAAAACGGTAAAAGGTGCAGCCCTGCAATCGCTCGCTCAAGGCACTGCTGGCAGAAGGGTCTCAACTAGAGACAGCTCTTGAGAGCCCCTCGAGAGGGTATTTGGCCTACTCTTCCATGCTGGCCGGACAGCGTAGAAGGGGTGGGAGTACCCATACTGCTGGCAGTGGCAAACCCATGGTGGGGCGTTTAAGGGGATTGCTCCCCCCATTGAGAACCGGAACATTCATATTGAACTGATATCAGCAGAATATGTATTTAAATGTTGTTGTTGATGTAGGGGACCCTCTTTAAACATCTTGTAATGTCAGGATTGCCCCCCCCCCTACCACTCTGCTGGGAAGTTTCAGGGTCCGCATCTGGCTGCTGAGTGGACAGCGACGTGGGGGGGGGGGGGGCATTTAAACAACTTCCCAGGGTTTAATACACGGCCCCGCTGGGAGATCGAATTACACCGGAAACCTGCAGACTTGCAGGTGCAGTGTGCTGACTCACCATCGCAACATGGCCGCACCCAAGACGATCACATCGCCGCTTCTGAAAAGCCACTCTGAGTGAGACTTCAACGTGGCCTTTTACTTACACGACACGGACAAGAATACAGTCAACTCGTAACTCCACGCTGCCGCCGCAGGACGACTCAGAACCGCAGACGAGAAGGCAGCAGCAGCAGGCACGCGTGACGGGAACCGGCGCCGCCCACAATTGTCCAAGTTCTGCGGCCCTCTATAAATGATGATCGAGTTTCATCGTGATTCTTGGTGCGAACACAGATCGATCTCAGGAGTTGGGAAGTTGGGATTGCGACCTGCGATGTGGAGGCCTAATGGACTAAGTTGTGTGTTGTGATCACGCTTTTTGTTGTTTGTGCTGGTTTATTTAGTGACACTTCTTTATTTGTGCATTAATTATTATTTTTATTGCTAGTAGGATTTTAATTTGCTTGATAGTGGCTGTATATGGGATTTGTCCTGATATATAATTAATGTAAAGCTTTATGGGATGCTATTAGCATGAATGACACGATATAAAACGAGAGTATTATTATTATTAACCAAACACAAAGACACACCGAAGTCAGCTCCCATCGTGTCGCCCCGGCTCCCCTCCCTGCACCTCCGATGAGCACGGCTGGCTACGTACGGCGCGAAAGAAGTTCAACATGCACGTACATATATCATTCGCTCGACATGTCCCGCTCATTGCTTGAAGCGAGGCCCGTGTCGGTGTGCCACTCAGTCCCACGCCCGCCGAGAGCCGCCGGCGTCGCAAGGACGTCGCAAGGGAAACATTTGGGTCAGCGGCGCGTCCCCGTGACCTCACCGCCACATTCTGACCCATTTCATCCCCCCCACCCCCTCCTGTTTAATGGTCTCCGCTTAAGCTCCCTTATCAACCATGAAGCAGCCATTGATGAGCGTGTAATCTGCTGTGAGGATGAGCACCAAGATGAACTGTGCAGTTATTGTCAGTGAAGGATGCGAGGAGAGGTGGAGGGGGTGACGTTTGTAATGCATCTGCTGCTTTCAATGGGGCCACCCTCACTCGCTCTCTCTCTCTCTCTTTCGCCACACGACAATAAAAGCTTCTCTCCCACCCTCCGCATTCATTCCAGGGCCCAATGTACACTCCGCGTAACCTCACTGCCTCTATTGCAATTATAGCTAATGGAAGAGTACAATTGATAATCATTTACAGTCTTGTCAATCTACTGCTGGATGAAGGCCTCCACATGGTGGTGGTTGCGAAACGTTACATTTTTTGGCCGTACTTCACCGCGCTGATCGGTGCAGGTCGGTAGGAGTGGCGGGGGGGGGGGGGGACTAGTTCAGATATGTTGCTCGCCACTGATGTTGGCCTTGGATGGGATTCTAACTCTGGTGCGCCAGGTACATGGCGCAATGTGTGTTTAGCCACTGTGCAACTGTTGGCCCGTGCCTCACGTACAATGATTTCCGGTGAGACATTGACGTAATAAGCATCACAACACTGCCAGCAAACCTTGTCATGACAACATTACAAAATTCTGTTTTGACAACAATAATTTTATTTGAATTTAGTATAAATCTCAAGAAGTGTATTATTATTGCTGTAATCGTTTTTGGAATGTAGTGCGTTTTATTTTCAAACAAGATAAATAACGTGGCCATTCTGAAAGCATAAAGGAAAGGGTTAATTAACGTGTCCTCTCACATGTAAACACTCATTAATTGGCTGATAACACCTTACTATATAGAGGGCCACAGAGCTTGGGCAATTGTTCATATCGCCAGTTCATCGCGTGGCTGCTGTTGCCTTTCCGCTCGTCTGAGGTTCCTCCTCGAGCTTCTGAGTCATCCTCTCTCTCTCTCTACAAGAACGGGCGAATACTGCGCAGGTCAACACAAGTTCACATTACTACCCTCACATCATACAAAATACGGCCATCTTTTCGGGATGATGTCTATTCACGTAACAATATTCCATGATTGTTTGTCTTGTAGATTCAGATCAGGGTGCAATAACGCCAGAACATTCTATAGCGGCAGAATATGAATTGCTTGTAGGGTCACACACACTCACACACGATTCATGTTGATTCATATGATGTTTGTCCTGGGCTCACATCCGACCATTCTGGGCCATGTTCTTCCTCTTGCGAAAGTAAGCGTTGAAGTTACGAGGAAGCGTGTCTGAAAAGAGAGAACAAGCAGGAGAACTAAAACACGATACATCGCCAGTAGCCCTTGTCGCAGAGGTTCGCTGTTTGAATCCAGCGGCCGCCCTGATTACTACTGCGGTGTATACAAATGTGTATAACACGATGTGCCATCTGCTTCACAGCGGACATTAAAGCTCCCCCTGACGCCATTTTCCAGAGTAGGCCGCTGCGTGCTGGCGTCACAGGGAGAAATCAGCCAAAGATGGCGCCGCAAATGACTCAATGGGGATCAAACGCGTGGCAATCATCGCCCCCTACCGCCAAACTACCGCAGACTGTGTCTGTCAAACAGCAGCAGCGCCTTCCTTAATCATAGCCTTGCGCTAGACGAATGGCGTGAATACCAAATGCACTCGCTTATTAATTTAAAACGTAGGCTTTCATAGCCATACTACATTTTATGATAATATAATTGCACTGAACTAACCAAATAGGTGCAATCTACCATCGCTTCCCCTGGTCGACAGGAGCACTTCCAACAGCAAGATCTGTGATTCTTTATAGCTTAGAGTGTACAAAACAGGAACTGCATAGCTGTATCCGTGCCCTCTCAAGAACGGGAAACGTTTCGGCATAAGTGACGGTAATTTATCGACACTTGTGTCCAGAGGTCAAGAGAGTAATGTGATATCTAACGATGAATGATTTAATCCGCGGCAGGTCTTGACAGGTGTGTTGTGTTGTGTGGTGAGCGGAGCGGTTCGTGGTTAGCTTGCTACGCTACGGACAAACGGTGTGGGGGCAATGGTGGTGATTCCCCCCCCCCACCCCCTTCTTTGAGACCATGAAAATGGATATGTTATTGATATTTACCAGAGTACAAACACTCTGTTTTTCTTTTTGTCTTGAATGAAGTGCCTTGCTTCTGGAGATACACATTTCAGACCTGTTTCTGGCTATAGAACCAGCGACCTGAGTTCGACTCCCTGGCTTCGCCTAACGTCGGTGGTGATCATCTGAACCACTCCTGGGCCTCCCCCATGTTGCCAAGCCAGCCTTAAGTGGGTACCTCATGCCGCTGTGTAAACATCAGCACGGGGAGACAAAGGCGGCCGGGTGTGGTTCCGGCCACACCCTGCACCCCCAGTCTTCGTAGGTGCTCGCTATCTAATAGGGTAGTCGATCGGCTGTTCACCTGTGGTGGGGTAGAGTGTGGGGACTTCCACCTTTTTGCAATTTGACTGGCCAACGTGGAATAGTAGGCCAAACGTCGTTTACGAGGGGGCTCTCTGGAGCTAATTGGGAGTGGAGGGCTTGCCCCGACAGCCTGAGTAGGCTACACGGGCAATCTCTGCCTCTGTCTTTGTGCGCGTGCAGTGCCAGACAGCGGCTCTCACCGTTGCAGCGGAAGTGCATGTCGGACCAGATGACGTTCTCCTGGGAGAAGCAGAAGACGCCGAGACGGCCACCCCGCATCGTCGTGTCAATCACCACCCCGGAGTCAGCCACCACCTCCGAGCCCTCGTACAGAACCACCCTGTCGCACGCACACACACGCACACACGCGCACACGCACACACACGCACACACACGCATACACACGCGCACACGCGCACACGCATACACACGCGCACACGCGCACACACGCACACGCGCACACGCACACACACGCACACGCGCACACGCGCACACACACGCACACGCGCACACGCGCACACACACGCACACGCGCGCACACGCGCACACACGCGCGCACACGCACACGCGCACACGCGCACACACACGCACGCGCACGCAAGCACACGTTACACGCACGCACACATGCACGCGCACACACACGCACACACACGCACACGAACGCACACGCACATACACGCACACACGCACGCACACGCACACACACGCACACGTACGTCGCTATCCTCTACAGACAACCCTGGGTCGGAGCCGTCGAATCAACTCACGAACGCTCGACAACGATCATTGGACCCACTCGGTTTGTTTACGTCAACTTTGTTGCAGGATGGGTAACTGCGTAGAAAAAGCCGGTAAAAAACCGGTTAGTACCGGTTTAGCGCACGTAGAAAAACGCCTCGAGCAACGAACACGACACGAGGCTGCTGGTTAGGGTCGCACTCGACTTGCGAGTGGTAACCGGTTTACCGGTTAGTAAACTCCGTAATGGACCCTCAGTTTAAGTCGCGAGCCAATGTAAATCATACAAAGTCATCCAATTCATCAATAACACTGCATCCCTTATGATGAAAAAAATATATATATACAATGTAACTGGCCAAACATCACAAAGCTGCACATTAACAGCAAATTACTCCATTGGGATGACACGGAGAAGCAACGTGACCCCGCTCTCCTCCCTCCTGCGAAAACTTGGCAGGACCCTCCTGAGAATGTGTCTTGATACTCAGTGAGGCTTTCCTGGGTAAACAAGTGCGGTGATAATAATGGTCCCTTCTTTATTGTTCATAGATAAAGTGGCCAAATAGTTGGGAGACTGCACTAATACACCATGGATGGATCTCTGATCATCTTGCAGTCTCTGACAATCGTTCACTCTCTGGCCTCTCTCTATCTCTGCAATCCACGAAAGCCACAACAAAATTATGATGAAACGCGAGTGCCCTATCGCTATCTCGCTGACCCACCCATACTTGCCGACCCACCCATACTGGACATCTGTGAAACAGAGCTTCATAGCTCATCGGATTCCTCTAGGATAAATAAAGATGCTGATTCTGAATGAAAGGGCATCATTATTACTTTACTTTCATCAGTCAGAGGCAGTATAGCGAACAGGCTTCTTTGATGGAGCTCTTGTTTCAGTAGCGATAAAGATTCAGATTGTGATCTTGCACGTGGGTCCTCTCTCCCCGCGATGGCCCCCCCCGCCTCGCTGATCGTCGGAGGTCACGGCGCGTCTCACCGGATGTAGCCGACCTGCGGACGGTGCGTCAGGTGCCAGCGGTAGGAGGTGCGGTCCTTCCAGCCGACGCCGCGCGGGTCTTTCCAGAGGAGCGCCACCTGGCCGTCCGTGTCGCCCGTATTCCACAGCGCGTTGCGGAGACTCTCCCCGGGGCCCGTCCGCGACTTCACTGCCTGTGGGCACGCACGCAGCACGTGGGCACGCACGCAGCACGTGGGCACGCACGCAGCACGTGGGCACGCACGCAGCACGTGTGTGGGCACGCACGCAGCACGTGTGTGGGCACGCACGCAGCACGTGGGCACGCACGCAGCACGTGGACACGCACGCAGCACGTGTGCACACAGCACGTATGCACGCAGCACGTGTGCACGCACGCACGCTTACATGCCAGATCCAGTGGGGGTGGTGGCGATGACGTTGCTGCGCGTAGTTCCAATTGAGTAACATGTAAAGTGTGTATGTTGAACTTCTTTCACACCGTATGTAGCCACCCGTGCTAATCGGAGGTGCGGGGGAAGGACAACTAAAAACAAACCACAATCCAACAGTTACAAGACAAGGACAGCATACTCACACAAAAAGCAGTTCTGAAGAAATTAGTTTGTAAAGCGAGATGATGATGATGACTTAAAGTGAATAGCTCCAGTGGCTTCCTAATAACGGAAGAAAGAACGTTCCAGACGACCGCGGAAGCGCATCGGAAAGCGCGTGATGCAGTGGCCGTCTTGGTTCGATGACTCGCCAACATGCAGGTAATTGTCCAGCATGAGGGTGTTTTGAGCCCACATGCAGGCTACACTGTTTTAGCTGTGGTCGGAGACCCGACAAGTCGGAGGAGCCCGACGCAGAACAGGGGACGGACACAGAAGCCCCGCACAGGAAGGCGCCCGGCCGCCCTGGTCAAATTGCTAATTACAGAGACGCCCCAGACATGCCACGAGAACCAACACCTTTCGTGTTCTCCCTTTTGGTTAGAAACAAACGAAAGAACCCGACGGCTCGTTCGTTGGCCGCGACGCTGGCTCCGTGCAAACCAAGCGCCGGGCTGTCTCCTCGTCCACGAACTGGTCTGACCGCTCACGCCGAACGCCCCCCCCCCCCGCCCTTCCAGCCCCCACCAACCTTGAGCTGCAAGCCCGGCTCGGCGACGGCTCTGAAGGGCGTCGACTGCCAGTAGGTCTGCTCCACCTGCTTCCACATGACCACGTAGAAGCTTGCGCTGTCCTGGTAGCCGAAGACGACGCCCACGTAGTCGTCGTCGGCCACCGTGTTCACGTGGAAGGTGCCCTCGAAGTCCACGCCGTTGAAGGCGGTGAAGCCTTGGCGGGGCACGGTGGGGGGGGGGGGGTCCGTAGTGAGAGGATCGCACCCGGCGGCAGTGCGAGGTGCTGCTGGAGCCGAGGCGCGGCTGTGCTGGGATCACGGCGCTGTGTGTGGACGTCTACGTCGAACTACGATTCACACCGTACGTAGCCGGCCGTGCAAACCAGAGGTGCGGGGGAAGGACAACGAACCGTGAGGTAGCGCGACCTGTGCTCGCCCTCATTGATCTGCTACATTGTGGGGTCGCGCTCATTACACACAAAGCGCTTGCCACAGATGAACCACCACGACTCGCTGATCTCTTCAAGGAGCATAAACGAACTCCGGCCGTCCTCACGGCGGCTTGTGGATAACCAGCGAACAAAGAGGGCCACGGCTGCGTCACGCACGTTCAGACGCGCTTCTGCGGCCGTCTGGAACGCTCTGCCTTCCCATATGAGGAAGCCACTGGAGCTGTGATGCACTTTTACATTTAAACCGAAAACTAATTTCTTGAGAACTGCTTTGTGTGGTCAGTGTGTTGTCCTTCTCCCGTACTTCTGATCAGCACGGTTAGCAACGTACGGTGGGAAAGACGTTCCACACACACACACGAGCTGAGCGTGCGAGAGCTACGGTGTGCTTCAAGGTTGCCTCAGCAGCACAATCAGCATCGATGTCTCCTTGCCGAAGAGAGAAACACACGGACTCAACAATCCCAAGGCTTTTGTTCAAAATGTCGCAGGTGCCTCTTGTCCGTCCCCTGACATGATGACGGGGGAGCTGTCGGCTCGCCCACGACGGGGAGTGCCCCGAGCTTACATCCGTGGCAAGCCAATGAACTCACCGTGGCCTTTCGCTGATGATTCCTGTGTCGACATTCTGATGTTCTTCTCTGAGAGCAGCGTGTGTATCGCCCGCGGCTCAATCAGCGGCGATGGCGTGCGGATCGCTCCGTGCCCATAACGCGGAGAGGGGGGGGGGCAGCTCACTTACCTACCGCAAGTCCAGGGTCACTGTTTCTTGTTTGCACAATTTCCCGTCCCTGCGGCGAAAGTAAAACAAAATATAATCGGGCATTAATGCACACAGCAGGTTCGTGTGCTAAAGATATAAATAATACGAGCAATGATTACATAGGAATGCGCAGCACTTTGCCAATCCACTTCTGGATGAAGGCTTCTGCCCACAACTAGCACACTCGTGCCTCTCCAGAGGGTACCACTCACTCAATCCATTACTCACTCATTCACTCAATCTACTACTCACTCATTCACTCCTTCAATCTACCATCCACTCATTCACCCAATCAACGACCCACTCATTCACTCGTTCAATCTACCACCCACCCATTCACTCAATCAACGACCCACTCATTCACTCGTTCAATCTACCACCCACCCATTCACTCAATCAACGACCCACTCATTCACTTGTTCAATCTACCACCCACCCATTCGCTCAATCAACGACCCACTCATTCACTCGTTCAATCTACCACCCACCCATTCACTAAATCAACTACCCACTCATTCACTCGTTCAATCTACCACCCACCCATTCACTCAATCAACGACCCACTCATTCACTCGTTCAATCTACCACCCACCCATTCACTCAATCAACGACCCACTCATTCACTCGTTCAATCTACCACCCACCCATTCACTAAATCAACTACCCACTCATTCACTCGTTCAATCTACCACCCACCCATTCACTCAATCAACGACCCACTCATTCACTCGTTCCAATATACCACCCACCCATTCACTAAATCAACTACCCACTCATTCACTCGTTCAATCTACCACCCACCCATTCACTAAATCAACTACCCACTCATTCACTCGTCCAATCTACCACCCACCCATTCACTCAATCAATTACCCACTCATTCACTCGTTCAATCTACCACCCACCCATTCACTAAATCAACTACCCACCCATTCACTCGTTCAATCTACCACCCACCCATTCACTAAATCAACGACCCACTCATTCACTCGTTCCAATATACCACCCACCCATTCACTCAATCAACGACCCACTCATTCACTCGTTCAATCTACCACCCACCCATTCACTCAATCAACGACCCACTCATTCACTCGTTCCAATATACCACCCACCCATTCACTAAATCAACTACCCACTCATTCACTCGTTCAATCTACCACCCACCCATTCACTAAATCAACTACCCACTCATTCACTCGTTCAATCTACCACCCACCCATTCACTAAATCAACTACCCACTCATTCACTCGTCCAATCTACCACCCACCCATTCACTCAATCAATTACCCACTCATTCACTCGTTCAATCTACCACCCACCCATTCACTAAATCAACTACCCACCCATTCACTCGTTCAATCTACCACCTGCTCAGGTGAGACAGGACCATGGCAGCATGGCGTGAGCTCTGTTCTGCAATTGGCAGTGATGTTCTTTTCAATATCCGCGAGTGTATGTGTGTGTGTGTGTGTATGTGTGTATGTATGTGTGTTGAACTTCTTACGCATCATATGTAGCCAACTGTGCTAATTGGAGGTGCAGTTATGAAACAAATCGTTTTTAATCTCGATTTTGAAGTGTGCGTGCGTACGGTCCGAGTGAGTCCCTAGTGCGATGTGTGAGCATCACGACTGGGGAGACAAAGGCGACCGGCCGTGGTGCTGTCCACCCACCCCCTCGTGCGCCGTACCGACGTTCATAGGTGCTACTCGCTAACAGCACTTGCCCCAACATTCTGTTGATGCTAAACGGGGCATCTTTGTCTTTGAATGCGGAGAACAGGGCCACAAGAATATATTCTAGCCCGGGACAAGCACAATATGTTAAACCATGTTCAATATCTTAAAAATGTCGCTTTAAATATATAAACACTCGCATGGGTACAGGGGGCAGGGGGGACGCGGATGGGGGCGGGGGGTTCGAGAGGCCGCTCCCACGGCTGCCGCACGCGCCTCGGGCCTCGCCTCCAGTGTCACCAATCGTGGGCCAGAGGCGGCGCGCTCGCCGCGTGCTGCAGAGATCGATTCCAGCGGCCGCCCTGGTTAATACTGCAGGTGAATTCACCGGAAAAGTATCGCGCACTGCCTGCTTCACAGTGGACGTTCAAAGATCCTGTGACGCCATTCACAAGGGTAGGCCATTGTGTGCCGACGTCATGATCAACAGTGGCTACATTTAGAAAGAATGACGCTGCTAATTACTCAATTGGGACGGTACATAGCAACAATCGCCCCCGACTGCGAAAACTTAACAGGACTCTACTGAAAGAGTCAAGACACCCAGTGAGGCTTTCCTGAGTAGACAGGCGTGCTAATGATCGTAATGAAGACTAAATATACAAAGTGTTTCTACCATTGTCTCACCCGCTAAGTGGAGGAACAAAGTGGTCACAACAAAATGTAGCAATAACGCACGTGACGTATCGCTTTCAGCTGCACCAAGCGTCTTCGATGTAATGTTTGTTAACCTCAACACCTCCGTGATACAGTATATTACTGTTTAATACAGTATATTACTGTATAATACAGTATATTTCTGTATTATATAGTATGTTTTTGTATAATACAGTATATTACTGTATATTAAAGGTTTTAAGGGTGAGATCGCATGGCTATAAATGTGTCGTCCAACTCGCTCCCACCCGACACAGCCAATTAGTGAGGGCTTTGCCACGTCAACAGAACGTGCCAATTCGATACGACTTGAGCAGCCCGCTCGTGCGTTCGAGAGTAAACCCACAACCTTCACAATTCCCGCAGAGTGGCAGCTCACGCAGCCAGGTTGAGGGACGCTATGGCTAAGCAAGCGTAATCATAGTATTACATGAGAAGCAAAGTTTGACTGGCTGGCTGGCCTGAGGCCACGTGCTGCCCATTGCGCAGAGGGGAGTGGGGGTGGGGGCTTGTGGGTTGTTACGCAAGAGGTTGGCACTTGCCCTACGAGTGTGTGGAGGCTACCGAGGGGATCTTCGTGTTTGCGGGTGAGCGCAGGGGAACCTGGTTGAGCACGAGCCACTGGGGGTCGATTTGCGCGTCGCCCTCCGGGTCGAGCACGACGGTCTGGAAGGCGCGGAAGTCGGTGCGGGTCACGTGCTCGTCCTCGGGGCACACGTCGAGCGCGTCGAGCACGCGGTCGTTGTCCAGGTCGCCCTCGCACGCGTCCCCCACGCCGTTGCCTGCCCCCCCCCCCCACACCAGCGCGGGACGCACAACGCCAAACAAGAATCAGTGTCAAGCTCCGATTTGATTTCATTTCCTGCCGCGCTGATTGCGGCGTGGACATTAACGGCGCCCCGCATCGCCCCCCCACCCCCACCCCTCGAGACCCCGAGAGTTTGTATGATATTGATACTCATCAGAGACAAAACACTGAGTGTTTGTATTTATCAATGTAAGGTTCTAATAATAAGGTTTTTCTACTTTTTACAAGGAATCATGTGTGTATTAACCACAATACGTGTGGTCAAAATGCCAAAAAAAAAAAACTATAATAATATATGCTTTGTCCTGGAAACTAATTGGTCCACACCAGAGACGGCTTTCTTTTGAGCCTTGAGCCTCGTCTCAATTGGTGCTAGACCAGAGGACGCCAATTGAGACGAGGCTCAAGGCTGGCAAAGGAGGTCTAATGATGTAAGGTTCTGTTTAAAAATATAGAAATTTCAGGACCGATTCTATCTGTTGGGTCTGCTTTGGGTGCTCCTGTTTCCTCCCACATGTAAACACTTATGAATTGGCCAATAAGACCTTCATATTTAGAGGACCGCAGAGCTTGGGCAATTGTTGGTGCCGGCTCACCGCGTGGCTGCTGCTGCCTTCCCGCTGCTCGTGTGTCGTCCCCCCACCCCCCTCCGAGTCGTCTCTCTCTCTCCCCATGAGTGAGTGACTGAGTGAGTGAGTGACTGAGTGAGTGACTGAGCGAGTGAGTGACTGAGTGAGTGAGTGACTGAGTGAGTGAGTGACTGAGTGAGTGACTGAGTGAGTGAGTGACTGAGTGAGTGACTGAGTGAGTGACTGAGTGAGTGACTGAGTGAGTGAGTGAGTGACTGAGTGAGTGAGTGACTGAGTGAGTGAGTGACTGAGTGAGTGAGTGACTGAGTGAGTGAGTGACTGAGTGAGTGAATCCCGTTCGGCGACTGCGGCAGCAGCACCAACATTCGTGCAGCAGGTGGCGCTACGCTGCACTACGCTGCGCTATGAACCCAGCAAGCCGGGTTCCATTCCCGCTCACAGCCAACACCAGTGACAATTATCCGAACCGGTCTCGGGCCTCCCCTAGGTCGCAACTAGGGAGACAAAGGCGGCCGGGTGTGGTTCTGGTCACCCACCCCCTCGTGTACAGTGCCGGCCTTCATAGGTGCTCGCTAACAGCACTTGCACCTACAGTCTGTTAAGGCTATACGGGGGATCTTTGTCTTGTGTGTGAGAGTGTGTGTGAGAGTGTGTGAGAGTATATGTGTGTGAGAGTGTGTGTGCGAGTGTGTGAGTGTGTGCGTGTGTGAGAGTGTGTGAGAGTGTGTGTGTGAGAGTGTGTGTGAGAGTGTGTGTGAGAGAGTGTGTGTGAGAGTGTGTGTGAGAGTGTGTGAGAGTGTGTGTGAGAGTGTGTGTGAGAGTGTGTGTGAGAGTGTGTGAGAGTGTGTGTGCGTGTGTGTGCGTGTGTGAGAGTGTGTGTGAGAGTGTGTCAGTGTGTGTGAGAGTGTGTGTGCGTGTGTGAGAGTGTGTGAGAGTATATGTGTGTGAAAGTGTGTGTGTGCGCGTGTGTGTGTGCGTGGCGCTCACGGTTTCCGTCCTCCTGCCCGGGGTTGGGCACCAGCCGGCAGTTGTCGGGCCCGGGCTGAGCGCCGTCGTCGTCGTTGTTACTGTCGCTGTCGAGGACTCCGTCGCCATCGTCGTCGTCGTCGCACTCGTTGCCCAGGCCGTCCCCGTCCGTGTCCTGCTGCGAGCTGTTGGCCACCTCGGGGCAATTGTCTCGGTTGTCCTGCACTCCGTCCCCGTCGCTGCGGTGCAAGTTTCGCCGCACAACGACGATGAGTACGACAGTGACCGGTGCGGTAGGGGCGCCGTCATTCCAAAAAGCGCGGGGCGATCGCCACGAAGGAAGGCACCGCCGCTGTGTTCCACAGTAGGGGGTGATTTTGCTGTGTGTGCATAATCCCAATCAAGTGATTTTCCACGTAATTTTTTTAATCTGGCAGATTTTGGACCATGCCAGTGGCATGCGATGGTCCCACTCGTCTCGAATGACATCACGGGATCTTTAACTTCCACCGTGAAGCAAACACCGCGTAGTATGTGACGGGTAACGCCGTTGCACTATTAAACGGGGCGGCCTGCCGGAACCGAACCGCGAACCTCCGCAACAAGCCGTATGTTCCGACGCCGCAGCGGACGAAGGTCATCGGAGATGAAACAAGGGGAGGAAGATTCGTCGCACGAGCGTGTGGCTTCAGCAACGCTTTCCTCCACGCGTTTGTCTTCAGATGGATTTAATTAGCGGCACGGAAGCTGACGATTCAGCTGTTGGGGCTAAACTCCTGTAAACCACAAAGTCCCACTAATGTATGGGGTCAGCATTTGCTCTGACAGGGTAAGAAGTTGTTAGATTGACTTGTCAAGAATTGAACTTAGCCCATCGGGTTTCATTGTGCAGTGCGCAAACCACTCTGCCACTGACTGAAAATATTTGACAAGCAATCCCGTAACATTTTGTTTAATTGCTAAGGCAGCGTTAATAACGATCGTGAAAGAATCCCAAAATACATCTCCGCGCCTCCGAGTTCGATTCGCGAAATATGCGCTCGTTACGAAATGAGAATTATTATAATTGTTATCAATCAGTTGAAAACACGAATACATTCCCAATTACAGCCCAATCACGTCAAGATTACACAGATTCATATTTTATAGCGTGCCCTACGAAATCGCAGAGGAAAGAGCAATCTTGATGATAACGCGCAGCCTCCAACTGAACAGACTACCGGCTCCTCGGCCGGATGCGGCGACATCCATCCACGGCTACTGGCGGATTAACAAAACAGACGCTCGCTCGCCTTCCCCCCCCAGAGAGACAGAAGGTTGGGGGGGGGGGCCTCAGAAATGCAAAGCACGTATGTGGGCTTGGAAGGGCATAGGTTCATTAATAGCACTTCATGCCTAGGGCATTAAAAAATGCATTATGTAATTTGCCCATTGCCTGCTGCTATAGGGTTGCAAATGAGCTGCTTTGCTTCATTTGCTTTGCACTGAGCGCGTGAGAGGCGCGTGAGAGGCGCGTGAGAGGCGCGTGAGTGAGAGGCCGCGTGAGTGAGAGGCCGCGTGAGAGGCCGGGCCTCAGACGCGTTCTGCTCGTCCCCGCCGCAGTTCGCTCTGCACGGGCGCTCATGCGACGAGCGCGTCATGGAATCGGGCATGAAGGCCACGTCAACGCGATTTCCAGCTCAGGTGATTATCGAAGTGGCGCTCATCTCCGGTTTACAGTCCTTAGCCGGTGCGGGAAATTCCACAGAGGACAACCCCACAGTGTGGTGCTCATTTTATCGACCCGGAGGGATTATAGCGCCGAGTCATCGTCCGCACACCAGGATTTGACCTTGCGACCTTCCAGTTGCGAGCCGCCCGACCGCCTAGCGGCACTGGGGGCCCGATTTAGAATGAGGATGACCACGAGAAGACAGCGCTGCTGCTGCTGCTGCCTCTCACCTCGACTCTAAGAGGGGGGGGGGGGGGGGGGGGGTAGAAGCAGAGTGCCGTGTGGGCGAGTGGGGACGGATAACCTGCGCCCGCATTCTCTTCCCCAGTCGCGCCGCGTGGACAGAATCCGAACCTCGCCGCAGCAATGAGGGCTCACGTTCAAAGTGAACTGGCCAAGTGAGAGAGGGTTGGGGGGTGGGAGTGGGGGTGGAACCGGTTGTGCTTTTCTGGCAGGAAGGGCCCTTTTAGCAAAGGCAATTAAGGCCAATGCACCAGCAGCTGGGGCCCATTTAAGGAAAAATAAAAAAAATATGCAGTCCCATTCAAGTCTTGACCACGACGCGGTCATTAGTGTTGGGCTCACAAAGACATCCGTGCCGCATTTATTTTGAGTTATTCAATTACTATATATATATTTTACCTGTCCTCGTTTGTGTCGCAAATGTCTCCGACTAAGTCGTCGTCCATGTCGGCCTGCAGAGACGCGAACAAACAACAACAACAACAAACAACAACTGCTGTCAACGTTTAGTGCCTGCGAGACGATAATTCCCTTGTGCGGCGCGGCGCGTGGGGCACTGCACCGCGCTTGCGTGGAGCCGAAAACCGGGAATCTGAGCCTTGGGAGGCAACGTCCGAACGAGGCTCAATGGCTCCGGTGACCCCGGTTCTATCCATTCATCTATCTCCAAAGATCGATGAGCTTTCTCTCCGCGATCGATCATTTTGGTTTCCAGCGATCGACAAGTTTGGTTTCCAGGGGCACAACATTTGCTCCGTGCTTGATTCGCGCGCCCGCGTGACTCTCGCAACGCGTCTCTCGGGCGACGCCCGCGACGACCGTGGACGTCGCGGCTCGTCGCTTCGGCCGGACTACCCAAATCTTCGCGCCCGGTCCGGCGGGGCCGGCGAGCAGCGGCTGACGCGAATTGACGTAACGAGGCCGTGGCAGATGACGGCGCGCGGGGCGCACGGGAGCCGTGCCGGCGGCCTCGCCTGCCACCACGGCTCGCGTTGCAGGCGTCAAGGTGGTGGCCACGTGTCAGTCTGACCGGCTCTGGGAGGTGGGGGGAGTTGATCTGAAACTAGGAGGGCATGACCCTCCCCGCCTCCTCGTTCGGGGAAATCTTGACACCGTGGTTAGAACGAGGAAGGGTGGGAGGGAGGGGAGGGTCAGGTGGCAATCATTGCGCTCTCGTTTACTTGGTCGTGTCACTGAAGAAGACGCCGCTCCTGTGCCTCGCTCAGCGGCGGGCGGCGCCTCGTTCAGCAGAGCGGCGCTGAGGCCGCGGGAGCTGGGACGGGCCCCCCGGGCAGGACGTTGCGAGCCTCGTTCAATGAGGAACGAGGAACAAGAAAATGATGCGCGCGTATGGATTGCCACGTGACGCTTTCGATCATGCCATTGTCGCTGGAAGCAGTTAATTAGCGGTGCTGAAGTCGGCGGGTGCAGCTGTCAGCGCAAACATTAGTTTGCATGTTTGCGAATAGTTACAAAGAGTTACATTCGTGCCGCGTTGTCTCTCCAGGTTTCAGGCAAACTATTGATTCGGTTAGCTCCGAACAGCAACACAAATCGACACTGAGGTTTTATCGGACTATCTTCACGAGAGTCATCGGGTCCCCTCCGCCCCCCACCCCCCATTCCCCCGAACCCCATCACAGACGGGCTGACAGACAGATGGGCAGAGCTAATGCATGGATGCTTTCACCCTCAGCTGGAAACGTTGGGAAGACGTTAAAGCCACAGCCAGTTCCTCCACCATGGCACCCGCAGACGTTGCTGTGACGTCGCTCACGTTTACCAACATTATCAAGGAGATTTCAGAATATTTTGCGTTTGTAATAAATGAGATGGCATTGTAATTATGCATCTACTTGTCGCTTACAAAAATGACAGGGCGCGTATGTGCAGCGCAGTGCGTGGGTGTCGCGCGGTGTGTGTGTGTAGCACAGGGTGTGCAGAGCAGTGTGTGTGTAGCACGTTGTGTGTGTGTAGAGCAGTGTGTGTGTGTAGAGCAGTGTGTGTGTGTAGCGCTGTGCGTGTGTGTAGCGCGGTGGTGTGTGTGTCGCGCGCGGTGCGCTAACTCCTACGCTGCCTCCTCTCCACCCACGCGTGCGACCCACGCGTCAAACCCCGGCGTGCATGATAAGTGCCTTTGAAGGTTTCTGCTCGACGATCAGCACGCGCCTGTTGAATTCACGGTTTTTTTTGTTAGATTTTAGATGCGTGAATATGCTTTTTGGTCCCTGTGTTTGTCGAATATGTTTGGTAATTAAAATGTATGTTGGATTCTTCGAACATATATGTATTCATTATAACCATATATTGTTGATAATCAAACGCAAGTATTCAAATGGAACATGGCAACAAATATCACGCCATATAATTGTTTAGAAGATTACAGAACATAAACTATTCATGTAAACACTATGAATGTAAACGGTATTGATGAAAACAATATGAATGTAACTATCATGCATGCAAACAGCATTAATGTTAGCAATATGAATGTTAACAATATTAATGTAACCAATAACAATGCATACCATTATGGATGTAACCACTACTCATCTAAGCAGTATTCACGTTCACAATGTGGCTGTAAACAAACGAGGAGGTGAGCGAACTGCACCGCACCAGTCAAGACAAATGAGGAGCGGTGGATCCAAGGGGGCCGTACGGCGAAGGGGGTCACCAGCCCCCCACTTGAGACCACAAACATTGGCCTCTTACTGATATTTAACCGATAAATTGCATCGGTTTTTTTTGTGACGTAGGGTTGGAGGTTTTAGTTACTGAGTAATGCAGAGCCCGATTTAAAGAAGCTGAAATATACCGGCTCACCCCCACCCCCCTCCCCGAGTCGAACCCCCCCCCACCAAACCTGGGACGTCTCGAGACTGCCCTCTGCAAACGAGACAGGATTCAAACGATACGGCAATAATCACTCATAACCCTGACTCGTAATGCATTCACCATATTGCTATAAGGGTTAAGCAATCTATTACAGCACTTTGTCATTCCACTGCTGAATGGAAGCAATCATTTGTGGCGAGATCACTTCTAAAAAAAGAGCTACTTAGCTCAGTGGACCTGGTAAAATATAAAAATATATTTCTAGTTGAATAGTCTAAGCGGCCCTCGCCTGGGAGGTGACGGCACCTGGGTGGGATTGCTGACGTTGGGGCAGCTGTCGCACCGGTCGCCCACGCCGTCCGAGTCCCTGTCCAGCTGCTCCGGGTTCACGTCTCTCGGGCAGTTGTCCAGAATGTTGGGGATCCCTGCGCAGACGACCCCAACCGACCACCCGGCAGGAGCACAATTCACAATCCTGCCCCACGGTAGGTGGCGATGCGGCCAGGATTTAAATATTAGATTTTTTACCCGATTTCATCATAATCACTTCAACTTGTAACACCCCGCATAGAATCAGCTCACCGAGAGGACAACCCCGAGGCGCGAGGAGGAACCGCAGATGAGCGGGGAGGCCGCAGCAGCAGCCAAGCGGTGAGGCGGAGCCACATTTCCCTCCCACCCCCAACAAGCTCTGCAGTCCTCTACATATGCACGTGTTTTCGGTTAACCAACGTTTACACGTGGGAGGAAACTGGAGCACCCGGGGGAAACCCACACGTGCGAGGGGGAAACACTCTATACCATACAGATGAAGTAGATGGAGTTCACATCTACACCGTGCCACCCTTCCTCGTGCGGAGTCCACATTCTCGTGCGGAGTCCTTCGCAGGGCTGGATTGCTGCTGAATCTCTTAAAGGCGTCGAGACGTGAGATGAAGCGTTAGGCAACGGTGGAGCACTGCAATTGCTTTGCTCACTGCCTCTCTGGAGGGGGCATTTAGCCCACTCGGCTCAGCTCGACTCAGCTCGACTCGGCTCTGCTCAGTTCACTTCGGCTCGGCTCGGCCTAGCTCGGCTTGGCGTGGCTCAGTTTCGCAGCGCTCTGCTCGTCTCAGCTCGACTCAGCTCGACTCAGCTCGGCTCAGCTCGTCTCAGCTCGACTCAGCCCGGCTTGGTAGGGCCCGGCTTTGGCCACGCACCGTCCCCGTCCACGTCTCTGTCGCAGGCGTCGCCGTGCCCGTCACGGTCCGCGTCGCGCTGGTCGCGGTTCGAGACGCCCGGGCAGTTGTCGCAGGCGTCGCCCAAGCCGTCGTCGTCGGTGTCGCGCTGGTCGGGGTTCGGCACCAGCCGGCAGTTGTCCTGCGGCGGATGCGCGGTCACATTTGTTAGGTGCAAAATACAAAATAGACATTTGTCAAATTTCCACGTTCGCCGTTTGAGATTCGCACGGGACGTCGCTGCAGACGCGCCGCTTGCCTCTCCACCTGTCTGCGTCTGTCACGTGGGGTCTCCAGGTGACCAAGCGAGGGTGAGCAGGTCACGTGGGGTCTCGAGGTGACCAAGCGAGGGTGACCAGGTCACGTGGGGTCTCCAGGTGATTAAGTGAGAGTGACCAGGTCACGTGGGGGTCTCCAGGTGACCAAGCGAGGGTGACCAGGTCACGTGGGGTCTCCGAGTGACTAAGCGAGGGTGACCAGGTCACGTGGGGTCTCCAGGTGATTAAGCGAGAGTGACCAGGTCACGTGGGGTCTCCAGGTGACCAAGCGAGGGTGACCAGGTCACGTGTGGTCTCCAGGTGATTAAGCGAGAGTGACCAGGTCACGTGGGGTCTCCAGGTGACCAAGCGGGGGTGACCAGGTCACGTGGGGTCTCCAAGTGACTTAGTGAGAGTGACCAGGTCACGTGGGGTCTCCAGGTGATTGTTAAAGGTCCTGATGTTTCCGATGATCCTGACCAGAACGATGACTGATGAGCGGTGACAACCGATCGACTACCGGGATCTACGACCATGGTCAAGATGTTCACCGACATCACTGCGACCGAGGCCTGTAGCGCCACCTACCGAGCGACGAATCGCCGCCACACAACAGAAAGGGGCCTCATGCGGCCGACTGGCGGCTGGATTCGGCACGACTCCGGTTGCTTTTCTTGCGAGAATGAGCCTCCCATCACCGTCACTCATTTCACCTCTTCGTTGGTGATGCCATCACCATCTCCATCGGGGTCACACTGATCTCCGACGTCATCGCCATCCGTGTCCTCCTGTCCCGAGTTGGGCGTGAGGCGGCAGTTGTCCTGAAACGAGTGAAATGAGAGGCGCTCTCTGGGGATTTGTTTTTTTTTACGACAAAATGTTTGGGCACAGACCCCCGCCCCCCCAAAAGGGTCCCAACACATTAAGCGGTCAGCAACAAGCGGCGCTATTATCAAAGTTGTAACAGATGAGAGTCAACAGGGAGTCTTGAATTGAGCGAGGTTATTGCTGCAACAGAGACGATGGGAAGAGGGCATTTCTAAGTAGAGCAGTGCGAGGCAAAAAGCAGAGGCGTCGTGACCTGAAGCGTGGTGAGTGGGTGGGCGAATGAGGCAGAGTGATTGAGTGGGTGAGTGTCCCGTGACCTGCAGCGTGGTGAGTGGGTGGGCGAATGAGGCAGAGTGATTGAGTGGGTGAGTGTCCCGTGACCTGCAGCGTGGTGAGTGGGTGGATGAACAAATGTGTTGTTGTGATCCGCAGTGCGATGGTTGAATGAGACGAAACAATCTGTGCAGAGTAGGTGCCTCCACAGTCCTTTTGCAATTCCACTGCTGGATGAGGGCCTCCTCTACTCATTGGTTTGCCCAATTCTACGCCACACTGGCTCGGTGCGGGATGTTGTAGGCAGGCAGCATAGATGAGCGGGAGCATGGAAGGACAAGATTTTGCTGCTCTGTCCCTCTACCGCCCGCCACGTGGACCCACAGCCTATAGCACCTGCTGTGCAAGGTGGTCGCTCATACATACAACATCCAGGAGCCGACGAGGCCGGGTGCATTCTGGGTGATACGGGTTGGATACTTGCCTTGATTATGATGATGTATAACTTTGCAACAGTCAAATGTATTTTGTAAAACTTATTTTTCATTAAATAAACACTGATTTAAGTATCACCAGGCCGATTGCAGACATCTGATTCATAAATGGACATTCATAAATGGAGATACATTAAAGACAAGTCACAGCAATGCAATTGTGACCAATGCAACCCAAACTAGGGACCACACCAAGCCCGTAGCCATGGAGTCAACTTTGGGGGGGACCAAATCTTCCAGCGTGTCTGGGGGTCCCAACCCAGAAACATATCTACATTTGAAAACGAATTTTCTGCCTAAAATAGAAAAAAATTCACTAACACATGGGATGGACTTTTAATTTATTTTTTACAATAATGTCTAATAGTGTATTATATTACATTGGTCTGTTTTTACTTTTTTACCATTTCTTGTTTCATTCTTTGTAATGGCAGAGATTAGAAATTGATAAAGTACAACCAATCATATAAACAAAAATCTATGCATTGATTTATATGAAGACAAGTTCAGATATTGTGGCTTAGCAAATTGTTATTTTTTTATTTACATAGCATAGCAATTATTTATTTTTATAGCAATATATTTGAATATTGAGCATATTTGAATATTGGGGCGGATGCGTCCCCCCCCCCCCAATATTCAAATATGCCCAATATTCAAATATGCTCAAAATGTATATATTGTAATTACGGCCTTGGACACAGTCAACCAATGTCGGAGGAGGAAGAGCGACACGACACGAACTCTCTCTCTCTGCTGAAGCCCTCTCGCCGTGGCGACATTGGCGTCGAGCTCCTGACCGTCTTGCTGCTGCTGCTGCTGCCGCTGCCACGATGCTCGAGAATATCACGGCAGGGTTGCTCATCGCGTCGTCAACAAACAGGAATCTGCGGCCGCGGAGAATTCCGTGCGGTTTCAGTTTCGAAATTTGTGACCACCAGGGGGTGCTCGGCAAACACCGGAGAACGGAAAATAAAATGACACACGACGATAGTTCAACAAAGTGGATGTTCACTGTGGAAATTTCTAGCAGCAAAATCATCTCAAGGCATGTTTTAAAATGAAAGAGCACCGGGCAGAAAGGGGAGGAGGGACGAGATGTTGATGATGAGAGGGGAGAGATACAGAAGAAAGCAGCAGTGGGCTTCGTGGAGGAGCAGCAGCAGCGGCGGCGGCGTGTGTTCGCAGGGGGCGACGTCATGTGATTTACTGGAAAATGTAGATGCTGCTATAGAACAACACTCATGGTGATATTGCGTTACACAGAGGAGAAAAGAGAGAAAAGATAGGACCTTTCACCACCAAAGCTGCTCTGGCAACTTCAGCTTATGTAAATGTTTAGTTTTTGTTTACGAGATGAGTTGCTTTGCTTTCATGTCAGCTGAAGGCATTGGGTGGACGCGGTGCGTGTCACGTGGGGCGGGCAGCTTTTACCTTCCTGCAGTTGCTGTCCTTGCAGCTCAGACCTTCATCAGGATAGCTGTCCAAGTCCGTGTCGATTCCACAAACGAAGCCATCTCCAGCCCAGCCCACTCTGCACTGCCCATGCAAATAACAGCAAAGTTCAGGACGGGCGGGGTGGCTACGCCCCACGTGGCCGCCGGTGATGCAGCGGCACTGGAGGCAGCGGCGAGAGTCGGTGGATCACCGCACAGATGTGAAACGTCCTCTCTGTGGGCATCCAGGAGGTGCCATACCCTGGCTCGCCAGGAGAAGGCGGTGCAGCAAATGCGGACTCCCATATGTTCCATCTGCATGGGATGGAGTGTTGCTGCCCTCCCACGTGTGCTACATGCCAACAACCTTAATAGGTGCTCGCTAAAGCCACGTTCCCCAAACGGAAAGGATACTGTGGGGATATTTGTCATATACTGTGTGTGTATGTAGCACTCGTGGCCAGTGGTAGCCTAGTCGTTAGCGCCCTGTGCTATGAGCCCAGAGGCCTGAGTTCAATCCCCGGGTACAGCGAACATGAGTGGCAATGATCTTAAACCGTCTTGGGTGTCTCCTAGGTCGATTCAGCCTTTAAACGATTCACCTCGCGTGTCGTGTGAACATCGGCACTGGGGACACGACGACGGTAGGACGTGGTTCTGACCACACCCACCACGGTGGCGAGACGATAACGACCTTCGCCTGCTATGAAGGACGCGTGGGATGAATTCCGACCCTGGCGCCTGAATATTTAGAAATTGCGTCTCCCTCTCCCCGTGGTCGCGTGGACTCCGTTTTTTCCCCTCCACATTTAGAAACACGCGTTTAGAGTATTTAGCTGATATAAATGTTCACGTAAGCCACTTCGTTGAGCTATCAAAAGAGCGAAATAGCTCAGTGGGGCCTTACCTGGTAAATGACAATTGTTTACACCCATCCCATAGGTGTTTGCTAACAGCACTTGCCCCTGCAGCCCGTGTCGGCCACTCGGGGGATATTTGTCTTTGTGTGCACTGCAGCACGTGGGTTGAGCGAGGCATCTCGGAATCCATAATGATAATGAGCTAGAATAACGACGGTTGAGCATGATAAACGGTATATTACCGTATCGCTAAATCAAGTTTGTCGATTGACAACCGCGCCACTGTTCTCAGCGAGATCCCCCTTTGGGAATGTGGGATTAAATATCACGCTTAGTATCTGCGGCATTTGTCACATTTGCAAAAAAAATCGCACATGATTTATTACTTGCACCGGACGAGATTTGATGAAGTAATTATTTTAGTGTCAAATGGAGGTGACGGCTTAAAGAACACTTGGGAGCTGCGGGCTAGGTCGGTGGGGGGTCGTGGTTTGGAGTTTGGTGACCCTGGTTACATTCTCGTCAATTTGAAGTGCGGTTTAAATGGAATTCACATTTTTATTAAATTTTCACGTCACCCATGAGCATGACCATCGTGCGGGGCTGCCTCCCCATCTATCCGCACGCGCAGCCTTACATTGCCAGAGCTGGGTTCGTTGACAATCAGGATGTGTATTGATACTGGGGGAATCACATGAGCTACAGAGCTCATGTTCACGGATGTCCGGTCGGGGCGTGTGAGAACGCGACAACAATACACACACACCATAGGAGTGCAAACTATCGGTAAGGTACAGCAATTCACTAACACGAAGATACAAATCTGGTTCTTTCGGTAAAGTCACGTAGATAAATAAAACTGTTTTATTTAACCAGGTAAAGCCCACCGAGCAGAGGGCCCATACCACTGTATCCTGGGTTCAAATCCTGGCTTTATCCACCGACTGTAACGAAATTGAGTTCCCAAGTGCAGTGAGTTGCTAGTCTCAATCGGTCACCAATGAGCACTTGTACATTTGGTTAATGTGGTGATAGCAATTCTAGCGTTGAGAATTTAAAAACGATGTAATTCGGTTTGATTTGCATGCGATGAACGTCTCGCTAGCACAACAGGTGAGATCGAGCAGCATCTCCAGTGTGTGGAAGAGAGTTCACTGGCAGGGATTTCAGCAGTGGTTCAATGATACATTCTTCTGCAGACCGTACTTCAGTCTGAGATGTGATGGCAATGGCACAATTGGAGATGAAAATAAATATGTTAGAGCTCACGGATATGGGAAATCATTCTCAGAACCAAGGGGGAGTGTTCCTCTCTTTGCATTGTGTGCATGTCCGTTTGTCAGCTATAGTCACGTTTCAAGTTTAGTTTCTGTTGTTTCACCAGGTGAGAACTCGCGAACAGGACGGAGTCACATTTGCGAGAGTGCGGTGTTCGTCTGCTGCCAGTAGGGGGCAATGATCGCTGTTGTGTGAGTGTGGGGAGCGGTAGTGTAGTAGTGGTTGGCGCGCTGCACTCCAAACCCGGCGACCCGAGTTCGATTCCTGCTCACGGCCAACAACAGTGACGATCATTTGAACCGGTCCTAGGCCTCACCTAGGTTGACTCAGCCTCAAATAAGTAGTTGGTGTGCAAACATCGCCACTCGGGAGGCAAAGGCAGCCGGGCGTGGTGCTGGCCACCCAACCGATAGAGACTGTGGCGCACCACTCGAGACTTCGGGCCGGACAAAGAGTCGCGCGACATTTGAGGAAAGTCGCGCCGCTTCGCCCCAAGTGCCACGGCGGGAGATGACGCGGCGGGGGGGGGGGGGCAGCATCCCTGCCCCTGCCGTCTATCGGGATACAGGGAGGGGGTCGTTGCCTCTGTGTGCGGGCGGACGGACGGGACCTATCAGCGGGCAAAGGCGGGCGCACACCGGCTGGGATGATCGGGCTCGGATGTTCCGTGTGAGCTGCCGTGTGGGCGCTGGATGTGCCGAGGAGGTCGCGTGAGTTGACACGCGGAGAGCCACGGCTGGCTGTAGACAGAAGGTGATGCTCATTGACCTCACTGGGCCCGGGGAGCTGCCACGGCTGCCACGGTGAGCACGCGGAACTTGCACTGCGGGGGTCGCAGCTTCACTTTCTCGACTGTGCAAGTTCATTTAGCCTCGCACGTGTCCACCAGGCAGCGTTAACGAATAACACCGCACACTTAATCGACTGGTGGGCCGCGTGTGGTGAAGTGTGGGCGATCTCACCACGCCCCCCAGGGGAGACCCAAGCGCGACTATCCAGGCTCGGCCCTGCTTAGCTTCCGAGATCTGACGACAATCGGACGCTGGCTGATATTCAGTGAGAAATGAGGCCGTGGTGGTGCTGATGATGATGGCGTTGCTGCTGACTGTGATTTGCACTGCAATCTTTACTTGGCAGGAGGTGGATCCGTTGTGGGTGGTGACGCACACGCCCTGCTCGTGGCAGGGCGCTCCGTGGGCCCCGGAACAGCCGTGCCCACGCCGACAGCCGATCTTCTGGTCTCCCACGAACCCGTCCTGGCAGGGCCCACACTCGAATGACCCCTGCTCGCTCGCGACGGGAGGGCGAGTGCGGAAAAGCGTGGCCTCGTTAGCGTCCTTCACCCTGGCCCCACGAGCTGCCGACGTCTACCACCCACGATTAGCACGGTTGGCTGCGTACGGTGCGAAGGAATTCCAACATACATTCATATATACATTACACTATCAAACCATGTCTTATGTCATCAGGTGAGGCCCACTGAGCTACATCGACCTGGCCACAAATGATAGCTCAGCAAAGTGGCTTATCACGTGGAAATGTATCACAGCCAAACACTCGAAACATCTACAGGTGTTTTGTGACCTCCATTTCATTCTCAAAAACGTTATATATCCTTTAAAGTAAGGTTTATTTAAAACAGACATTAATATGCAAAGGGAACAAATGTTAAGAGTCAATTAATTGGGGGTCACAATAAATCTGAACCACCCTGCACAGTAATGTACCAGAGAGGTGTAAAGTTAAACGTAATTCACATCCCGATGTCCTGGATTCTCGCGTGACATGTTGCACGTGCCTGAGGACGCTTGGCACAGCTCCACGCAAAAAGGCCGCGCGTCGTGAGCATTGTTCTTCAACTTAGCGGTGAGCTGAAACAATACGAGCTGGCGCGTTGTTAAACGCGTAGTATATTAATTCATTGTGGTCATTATACATTTAGATATATATTCTGATAATTGTTGCTCTTGTTCAGCCAGGACTGCTTCGTTGAGCTGCAGATTGTCGGTGTCCCGGGAGCTTCCTGCCAAGTTTTCGCTGTGGGAGGGTGATGATAGTTGTGTGTTTCCTAATTCAGTTATTTGTAGTTGTTGTTGTTGTTTGTTGTTGTGTCACATTTGGTTCGCGAGGCTGGCACACGCAGCCCTCGTCTTGTTCGAGTCACGTCACGTGATCGTCAACGTCCGCGGTGAGGCAGACGGCGCGTACCGCACGCAGGGAATACGCACGCGGTGCGCGTCTCTTGACTCCGCGTGTTTGCATCGAGCACAAAACAGCACAAGACACGCCGCGACAACAACTGCGTCTCGCGCTAAATATCGGGAATGAATGGCGCGTGCGGGGCAAAGAGGCCGTGCGGGCCATGTACACCCGAGTAGGCCAAGACTTGATAGGGGCACCCATAGCAGCAGCCCCGTGCTCAGTGAGACGCGAGACATCAGGCGCTGACCAGCCTGCTGAAGTATGGCCAAACCCCACCATGTTCTATTGGCCAGCCGTCCAACAAAGACGGTCACTGCGCTTCTGCGGCCGTCTGCACTGGAGCTCTACATTTTAAAATCTAGATTGAAAGCTCTTTTCTTGAGAACTGTCTTTTCGTGTTTAGTTTGTTGTCCTTCCACCGCACCTGCGATTAGCGCGGTTGGCTACGTACGGTGCGAAAGAAGTTCAACGTACATACACCATGATCGTCGCGTCTAAACCACAGCCGCCAGGTCGTTCGAGGAAGTGAAACGTTGCATTCGGTTCATATCAAATCGGTTCATGTGCAGGAGCTGGGTGGGTTGTCCCATCGCGGGAGAGGTGGCGGCAGCTTGGGCAGGCGTTCATGCAGCAGTGGATAGGTCACGGCTGACGATGCTGATGATGTTGAACACAGCAGCTGCGGTCAATCGTTAGGTCGCGAGTGCACTGGTGATTGTGAATGCGCGGGTCGGGGTTGAAGAGCGGTTTGTGTAACCAGCGAGAGAACTCCAGAGGGAGGGTTCGAGTCGAATTCGCGACAGTGACCTGGGGTCACTGAAATGGTGAAAGTCAGACGACGCGATTGGAATCTCTCACATTTTAGCATTGCCGCATTTTCCCCAATGCTCTGGTTTTTGCGTTTAATGGCATTTGATTACGATTAATTGTTAGCTTAGATTACTGTGTAGGTATCACGCCCCTATTTAACGATAACTTTTCACCACCCGACAGAGCCATCAAATCTAATTTTATATTTCAACTTTCCTCCCCCGGTTTCGATAAGAAACCAAATACATTTGCATATTTGTCCACCTAATAATAATAACTTTATTTAATTGGCTTTGTCGGGTGGTGCAGGGTTTTAAACAAATTGGCATTAAACCTCCACGATCTAAGCCAAAAGAAACCAATTATAATAATAATATCTGTTGCAAAAGCCTACGTTTGAAAGTGTATTTTTATATTATAGGCTTAAATGACAAGCTTCGGATAAGCAATTGAGATGAAAACAAAAATGCGCACAACAAAGCAACGCTGGAATTGGAAAAAAAATTGCAAAGATAAATCACCGTTAAATCAAAGCCAAAATTTTAATTCCCTGGGACGCCAATCGGCCCGTCGAACCCCTCTGAATGATCTAAGCCGTGGCCCTCTGGCAGGATAATCTGGGCCCTTGCGGAGGAGAGTGCGAGGGCTATTAAGACCTCAGGATTCGGTGCACGGCAAACTCCCAGGAGGAGCACATGCCGCGCTACGGGCGAGTGCGAGTCCGCGTTGTCTACTTGCCCTTCCCCCGCACCTACAATGCTCCTTGCTCCGCACCTCCCATTAGCATGGTTGGCTATGTACGGTGCAAAAGAAGTTAAACATACATACGCGTAACACCATGCATTGCATCCTATTGACTGTAAATGTTAATTTAAGCACGAAAACATAATTTTAGGCAATTAAATTAAATTCACTACTTAATTAATAACGTGTTTTAAAGTGTTCCTAGAATACAATGGGAACGTTCGTCATCACTATCATCAGCGAAGACCAATCCACTGCTGGATGAACGCCTCCCCAAGCGCGATGAAACAATCCATCCATAACCACTTGCACATTCATTCTCATCCTTCCACCTCCACATTGTTTGCGCTCTCGGATGCATTCCAATCCTTGGCCACCGCTTCGTTATTACTCTTGACCGTTGGCCATCGTCCCTCAACACCAACATCATCGTCCCTCCATCATCTTGGTGATGGTGAGTTCACTCACCTTGGTGATGGTGAGTTCACTCACCTTGGTGATGGTGAGTTCACTCACTTTGGTGAGGGTGAGCTCACTCACCTTGGTGATGGTGAGTTCACTCACCTTGGTGATGGTGAGTTCACTCACCTTGGTGATGGTGAGCTCACTCACCTTGGTGATGGTGAGTTCACTCACCTTGGTGAGGGTGAGCTCACTCACCTTGGTGATGGTGAGTTCACTCACCTTGGTGATGGTGAGCTCACTCACCTTGGTGATGGTGAGCTCACTCACCTTGGTGATGGTGAGTTCACTCACCTTGGTGATGGTGAGTTCACTCACCTTGGTGATGGTGAGTTCACTCACCTTGGTGATGGTGTTGGTGAGCTCACTCACCTTGGTGATGGTGTTGGTGAGCTCACTCACCTTGGTGATGGTGAGTTTACTCACCGTGGTGATGGTGTTGGTGAGCTCACTCATCTTGGTGATGGTGATGGTGAGTTCACTCACCGTGGTGATGGTGTTGGTGAGCTGACTCACCTTGGTGATGGTGAGCTCACTCACCTTGGTGATGGTGAGCTCACTCACCGTGGTGATGGTGAGTTCACTCACCGTGGTGATGGTGATGGTGAGTTCACTCACCTTGGTGTTGATGCAGATGGAGTTGTCGACGCAGCCGCCGTTTTTCCCGTCGCGGCACTCGTCGACGTCGTGGCAGACCTGAGCACAAGACGACAAATCAAAGCGAAGAGACGCAAACGTCACGAAGTTGCGCTTTTTGTCAGAATCAGGATGTTTATGTCTAATCGAGGAATTCCATGAGCTATGAAGCTCTTTTTCACAGATGTCCAATAAGGGGCACAGGGTCAGAACGTTACAACAACAACACAAACACGACAGGAGTGAAAATTATAGAAAAGGTAAACAAATCACTTAAAAAAATATATAAATACATCTAAACAATGTTTTATCACTTTTTCAGAAGCGACCTGGCCACAAATGGTAGCTCAACCACGTGGCTTATCACGTGGAAATGTATAGCAGCCAAATCATCAAAATAATCTAAATCCATGTTGTATCTAAATGTGTAGAAAAGAAACGGAGGACCCGGAGAAAAAAATCCGCACGAGCACGGGAAGAGAGACGCGCACAAACTCCAAATAAACAGCAGCAGCAGCAGCAGCAGCGGCAGCAGGCAGCAGGCAGCAGCAGCAGCAGGCAGCAGCAGCAGGCAGCAGCAGCAGCAGCGGCAGCAGGCAGCAGGCAGCAGCAGCAGCAGCAGGCAGCAGCAGCAGGCAGCAGCAGCAGACAGCAGCAGCAGGCAGCAGGCAGCAGCAGCAGCAGCAGGCGTCAGGGTCGGGATCGAACCCCCCGCCTCTTGCCTACCAGGCGAGGAAAGTGACATCTCGCCAGCGTGGCGCCCCTTAAATAAGTGAGAACTTAAGAAAGTTTCTCGGTTCACATTTTCTTCGCATGGCTGATGTTGAAGCAGAGCAGCAGCTGCCATCCCACACCGAGAGGTGGAGAATGGGCCGCGTAGAGCGTCAGGAGTGGAGTGGGGTCGCTGGGACGACGCCTCCCCCCCTCCCCCCCCCTTCGGATTTGTGAATCGCCAATTTCGGTGTCGTCACAGGGCCCCAGAGGTTTTAAGAAAACTTTTTTTTATTTTAACTTGCGCTAATTACCCGCCGGTTCACTTCTAGATAATAACAAAACCCAGTGAATGACCACGAGGCAGTGAAGACGCGTTGTGGCTCGGCGTTTCGCGATGCCGCCATCGCTCGCCCACTGCTTGTTGCGCCGTTTTGTGAGAGCGGCGGTGCGTGGTGGGTGTCGTTCACGCTCGTCCGTGTGCGGTGTACAGCACGGGACTGCAATTCAATTGTGCGGGGTGGAAGTGGGTTTCTTTTAATCATGGAAGGAAACTGGATAAATCGGAGGACAACCATGCAGAACATGGGGAGGGATCATACAGACTCCACTCACACTCACTCAGACACATTCACTCTCTGCAGAACAAGGGGAAAACATACAGATTCCATATTCTTGGCTCTTACGGTAAAGTCACGTAGATAGAAAATAAAAAATAATAAAATATAAATATTAAAAAAATGTGAAAATAATAATAAACACGACGTTTCGATCGCAACACACGCGGTCTTCATCTACGTGACTTTACCGAAATAACCAAGAATTTGAATTCCTGCGGTCACGAAAGTTTTAAGTCAAAAGTACAGATTCCACTCACGCTCTACAAAACATGGGGAGAACACAAAACATGGGGAGAACACAAAACATGGGGAGAACACAAAACATGGGAAGAACACTAAACATGGGGAGAACACAAAACATGGGGAGAACACAAAACATGGGGAGAACACAAAACATGGGGAGAACACAAAACATGGGGAGAACACAAAACATGGGGAGAACACAAAACATGGGGAGAACACAAAACATGGGGAGAACACAAAACATGGGGAGAACACAAAACATGGGGAGAACACAAAACATGGGGAGAACACAAAACATGGGAAGAACACAAAACATGGGGAGAACACAAAACATGGGGAGAACACAAAACATGGGGAGAACACAAACACTCCACACGCATGAAGGCCGCCGAGTCGGCAACCGAGCCCAGGTGCTCGTAGGCTGCGAGGTGCGCGTGTCACCACTGCTCCAGGCTGCCGCCCCACACGCTCCCACATGGTTGCGACACTTGGCCACTTTACCCACACGAGGTGAAAACCTTTAATGTGCCCAGCTGAGAGTGTTTATTGCATATCAATCAATACTCTTTTAATTTCTAATTTAATTAACCTAATTAACTTGACAAAAAAAACTATCTTAATGCGATCTTTTCATGTACAGAGTCAATGATGTCTAGCATGGAAACATCGATTGATTCCACTCGATTTAATCACGGGCGGCTGACAGCAGGCTCGCTCGCTCGCTCGCTCGCTCCCGTCAGCTCACCTGGGGCCGGGCGCTCGCCTGGGCTAGGCCGAGCCCCGAGGTGGCCGTGCCCGTGTAGCCCGCGGGACAGGGCCCGCACTCGTAGCCCGGGGACGCGTTCGAGCACTCCACCCCCACGAAGCAGGGCTTGGCCCCCGCGCACTGCGGATTAGAGGCACCGCGGCGTCGTTCACATGGGCTTTTAGCAGCGGACATCAATTCACGGTGGGTTGGGTTGGTGGGGTAATTTGGCGGGTGGGTGGTTAGATTGATGAGCAGGTGGGTGGTTGGATTGATTAGTGGGTGGGTGGGTGGGTGTGCGGGTCGTCAGGTGGGTGGATAGATTGATTAGTGGGTGGGTTGGTGCTGGGGTTGAGTGGGGGGGTTGTGGGTGGGGGGGGTGGATGGGGGGGGTGGTGGGTGGGGTGGTGGGTAGGGGTGGTGGGGGGGTGGTGGGTGGGGGGTAGCGACCTCGTCCACATCGGTGCACCGCACTCCGTCCCCGGTGAGGCCGTCTGGGCACGGTCCGCAGCGGAATCCGCGCTCCGTGTCGGTGCACGCGACGCCGCGGGAGCACGGCCGCGTGTCGCACCGCGGCGGCCTCCCCGCGGCAACCTCAGCGTCTGCGACATGAGCGGGGCCATCCGGTCGGCCACGCATTCTCATCAATCATCATCGTCATCATCAATCACCGATCATCATCGTCGTCATCATCGTCGCTCACACCGACGTTCCCATGCAGGGCCGTCCATATGGAGTGTGGGGCCCGTGGCAAATCACAGCTTGTGGGACCCCTCGAAGCCATCTGACACCGTGACGTTGAAGCGCGGGTCCCCTGAAAGCGCGGGGCCCGGGGCAGTCGCCCCGATTCGCCCTACCCTAGAGACTGTTCTACTCCCATTGACCGTCTGGAACGCTCTTCCTTCCGATATTAAGAAGCCAGTGAAGCTATGCACTTTTACATTTCGATTGAAAACTAATTTCTTTCTAACTGCTTTCTGTGTTTAGTTTGTAGTCCTTCCTCCACACCTACGATTAGCACGGTTATCTACGTACGGCGCGAAAGAAGTTCAACATATATACATACACGATGGACTAAAATAAAATAAAACAATTAAGCGGAGAGATGACGGACAGAAGGGCATTCTGTTGTCACCTTGCGCTGCGACTCCTGCGCTAGCGCACGTGGGAGGGGTCAAGGTGACGAGAGAGGAAAGGGAACGCGGCAAGGGGGCGATGCCGACGACGTTTGCCGGGCTGCGGTACAAGCGGAGGGCGAGCGCGGCGAGCGCGCAGGATCACAGGGGCCGTTTAAACCTCACCGCACGCTCTGCACCCTTGGATCGCTTTTTTTAGCAGAGCCATTTCTGTTATCTGCACGGAGGAGGTGGGGAGAGAGAGAGAGGGAGATGAATAAAAGCGGCACGTTATTAAATACGACGACAAAAACAACAAAAAACGCAAACACAAAGAGAGGCATTCCGAGCATATTCAGCGCCGGCTTTCAATCCATCCATCACCTCCCTCCACCTGTCCATTATAAACATTTACTCGCATTGAGCCAAGTGACAAGGACTGCAGCTCCCCGCTGCCGACCCGAGTCAAATGTGTTGCCTCAATGTAATGGGATTGCTTTCTCCCGACTCAGGACTGCCTCCGTGTGCACGTAGCGCCTCAATTTCAACTTGATGTGCTTCGGTGACGGCTAAAGATAAAGGCGCAGCTCTGAAATTGCTCGCTCACGCCACTGCTGACGGAAGGGGCTTCCACTCTAGTGGGCATTTGGCCTACTCTTCCGTACTGGAAATACATCCTGGAACTCGTGGGATTTGCCACACATTACCCTACCACTACAACCTCCAAATCGATGAGCATTTATCCTCCTGGGTGGACAGAGACGGACGGAGTGATTTTGAGAAACTTGCCTTATTGTTTCAAATGCCACGCCAGGAAATTGAATCGAACCATCGATTTCTAGCCTGCAAGTCCAGTGCACTAACCACTGCACCACCACTCCCCCCACAGACACAGTGCGCTAACCACTGCACCACAGCGGCCTCCGAAAGTGGTATAATACGAGCACCTAAGCGCCGTACGCTGTTGTATAATTCAAAGTAACTTGCTTTTTGTCATACTGTGCTTCTATGTCCTCACATACAATGCTCTGCAGATTCAGCAGCCTCCAATGACCAGCGTGGTGAAGTATGGTCATTGGGGATGGGCGTGTTGAAGTTGTATCGCTCAGGAGTGGCGCTAAGAGATGTCTTACTCCTGTAGTGAGCGACTTCCGACCCACGTCGAGTCGAAGGCTTCTGGTTGACGAGCGTAGCGGCGTCGACGGAGCTGGCCTTACAGAACAGCCACGTGGTCGAAGATGAAGAGATGACGACGGCAGCGACGCAGCCAGGAATCAGACCCCACGCTCACAGCCCCGACGCTCTGGTTCGGTCCCCCTTATATCTGCCTGGCGAGGCCAAGCTCCACCTCTGGCCACACCCCCTTTCTAGAACCTTCTAGACCCTTCGGGATGGTTCCCGGAGCTTTTCGACTGACTCCGCCCTTCACCTTTACCCCAGACACGCCCCACTTTTAATAAGGCATTATGTCATGCAGCCATAACCGAAATAACCCCTACAGGCCGGCAGGTGTCACCCTGTCACTACACCACTATGAAGGGGTTACAGCGACAGCAGTGAGCTGCACGCAGGACTCGCAATCCGGAGGTCGCTGGTTCGATTCCATCTCCAGGCGCGGCAGTTCAAACAATGGGGGCGAGTTTCATAACCCCCCCCCCCTCGCCTCCTCTGTCCACCCACAAGAGTTAAATGGGTTCTTCACATTTCGATTTAAAGAACCAAGAAGATGGGTTCTTCACAGTTCATCGATTTGGTGGGGTTGACCGTGGGTAGATCCGTCTCTTCCCACACCTTCAGTCCACGTGGAGGAGTAGACCAAGTAACATCGAGAGCGTTCGCTCTTGCGGAGGCCTTCCGCCAGCAGTGGCGTGAGCGAACATTTGTGGAGCTGCACTTTTACCCCGATGATATTGATATTGCATCAATAGAAAGCAGCCATTCTGTTACAGGAGGGCGGCCGGGGAATTGTGGCATGCGTGGCGGGGTGTGTGGCGAGGTGCATGGCGGGGTGCGTGGGTGAACACGTGGTGGGGTGTGTGGCGAGGTGCATGGCGGGGTGCGTGGGTGAACACGTGGTGGGGTGCGTGGGAAGGTGCATGGCGGGGTGCGTGCCTGTTGCTGGACGTCTTCTCGCAGCTCCCGCAAGACTTGTGTGAGCTTCGCCATCTCACTGATCAGCAGTCGGGCGCTATGGTCGTCTGCAAGAGAGCGGCGGATGACAGAGAAGCCGGCCCAGCCAGCGCCGTCGTCCATCAGTTGTCACTTCCTAACGCGGCTCGCAAAAGCAGAGAACGGGTCCCGCATCGCCGATAGAATCACGAATTGAACAGAGCGCAGCACACCGGTAATGGCACTCGCGAGCCTGAGGGATCATGCAAAAGAGGAATACACTTTAGGCAACGCCACTGCGTTCAGTTCCAGAGCATGCGATAGATTGGCCCGCTGGAAAAAATCAGACTCGTACCACTTGAGTCTTTGACAGCTGGATGACACGCTCGCATTCAGTAAATATTCTTGTAGGAACAGGTGACGATGTGAGATGGGAAGAGGATGCGGTGGAACGAGATATGAGCGGAGTGGATGTGAGTGGAGACGAGGCGCAGGAGCAGGTGGAGAGAGAACATGCGAGCAACTGGCCCCATGCAACAATGTCTTAGAAGAAGATACACGTCCTTTGTTTCTCTATGCAAGTCTGTGCGTCTCTGTGTACGTCTCTGATAATCTCTGTAAGTCTGCGGATCATGCACGTGCATGGGTCTCGATGTAAGAAGACAGTGCATGCCAATAGAGAAGAGACAGAATAGAAAACCCACGGAGATCTAAACTCGGACCAGCCGACCCCACGCTACAATGGGGCTTCTGTCCTAGGAGAGGAAGAAGCGGCGGTGATAGGGCATTTTAAAATGAGATTGTACATGTGTTCCTCACCTAAGGTCCGTGAATTTGATGACACTGTGAAAACAAAGAAAACGTCAACGTATAAGACGGGTTCAATATAACACCGTGTTGCATGCAAGGATCAACGCCACTCTTTAATATCGCATTGAGAAAGTCAACACTACGATGACCATTGGGTCATTAGGGTCTTGGGTGGAAAAGTCAAGAGTGATTCCCGCTCCAATGAGCATAGAGGCAATGGTGCTCATCTCCTCTTTACAGCCCTGAGCCGGTGGTGTAAATTCCACGTTACTATGGCGGGGTTGGAGCGAGGCGAGGCAACTCATAAAACAACCGCTGTTAACTTTCCTACAACGTGGTGATTATTATAACGACCCCAGAGGGATGATGGGCCAAGTCATCCACCCCAGAGGGAGTTGAACTCGCAACATTTCCAACTGCGAGGCTGAGAGCCGAGCCCACAACCACACACACATACACAGCAACATTAGGATCGAAGGTTATCAAATAGAGGCGAAGGGGAGCAGGGTGGGTGCGCGTTTTGATAAACCGAACTGGGCAATGAGCCGCAGCGAACCGTGGTGCCGCGGATCGCAAGTTCTCAATGAGCGCGCATTGCCAGCTGTGGCGTACGGGTCAGAACCATCGGCGCTGACAGTTAAAATGTCACGACATGAAACGTAACGCGGGTACAAAGTAGCACGCTGGCCAAACGCTCGCTCGGAATTACACCGGGAGCCAGAGAGGGGGGGGGGGGGGGGGGCGCAAGTCCGTACGGGTGACCACGTGCACATGGGAGACGTCACGTGTGGTGATGGAAGGTGATCAACAGCTGTAATGTCCCACCTGTGTTGAGCAGCGTGTTGTCATCTGCCTGTTGCGAGCAACCTTGCAGACTGGCAACAGTTGCGAGGGACCCTCCCAGGACCAGCTTCATCTCCTGCAGGGAGCCCTGCCAGGCAGCGGTCGAGGTCAGCATGCCGAGTCACGGCGCCCGCAACGCGAGATCGATTCCCGCGGCGATTATCAGAACCGGTCCCAGTCTCCATGCTGACTAAGCTTTCAATGAGTACGCACGTTGAACTTCTTTCACACCGTACGTAGTCAACCGTGCTAACCGGAGGTGCGGGGGAAGAACAACAAACTGAACACAAAACGCAGCTCGAAAGAAGTCAGTTTTCAAACTCAGCACTCGCTACGGTGTGTAGTAAACATCAGCTCTGGGGAGACAAAGACGGCCGGCGTGGTGCTGTCCACCCACCTCCTCGTGTACCGTTCCGGTCTTCATAGGTCTCGCTAGCAGCACTTGTTCCAAGAGTCTGTTCAAGGCTATACAGGGGATCTTTGTCTTTCTTTCGTAGAGGGTGGTGGGGGTGATGAGGGTGGTAAAGTTTGTAGATGTTCGTGGTTGTGCTAAGTTGAGTTGGTGCTGGGCGATGCGAGTGGGTGGCAATGGGTGATGGTTGTGGCGATGATTAGTGGATTATGAGTAGTGGTGGTGGTGATGGTAGATGATGGTGGGTGGTCACAGCGGTGGTGGTCACAGTGGTGGTGGTGGTGGTCACAGTGGTGGTGGTGGTCACAGTGGTGGTGGTGGTGGTGGTCACGGTGGTGGTGGTGGTCACGGTGGTGGTGGTCACAGTAGTGGTGGTGGTGGTCACGGTGGTGGTCACAGTGATGGTGGTGGTGGTCACAGTAGTGGTGGTCACGGTGGTGGTGGTCACAGTGGTGGTGGTGGTGGTGGTCACGGTGGTGGTGGTCACAGTGGTGGTGGTGGTCACGGTGGTCACAGTGGTGGTGGTGGTGGTCACAGTGGTGGTGGTGGTGGTGGTCACGATGGTGGTGGTCACAGTGGTGGTGGTCACAGTGGCGATGGTCAGAGTGGTGGTGGTGGTCACAGTGGTGGTCACAGTGGTGGTGGTCACAGTGGTGGTGGTCACAGTGGTGGTGGTGGTCACAGTGGTGGTGGTCACAGTGGTGGTGGTCACAGTGGTGGTGGTGGTCACAGTGGTGGTGGTGGTGGTCACAGTGGACGTGGTCACAGTGGTGGTGGTGGTGGTCACAGGGGTGGTGGTCACAGTGGTGGTGGTGGTCACAGTGGTGGTGGTGGTCACAGTGGTGGTGGTGGTGGTGGTCACAGTGGTGGTGGTCACAGTGGTGGTGGTGGTGGTCACAGTGGTGGTGGTCACAGTGGTGGTCACAGTGGTGGTGGTGGTGGTGGTCACAGTGGTGGTGGTCACAGTGGTGGTGGTGGTCACAGTGGTGGTGATCACAGTGGTGGTGGTGGTCACAGTGGTGGTGGTGGTCACAGTGGTGGTGGTGGTGGTCACAGTGGTGGTGGTCACAGTGGTGGTGGTGGTCACAGTGGTGGTGGTGGTCACAGTGGTGGTGGTAGTGGTCACAGTGGTGGTGGTCACAGTGGTGGTGGTCACAGTGGTGGTGGTGGTCACAGTGGTGGTGGTTACAGTGGTGGTGGTGGTCACAGTGGTGGTGGTGGTCACAGTGGTGGTGGTCACAGTGGTGGTGGTGGTCACAGTGGTGGTGGTGGTCACAGTGGTGGTGGTCACAGTGGTGGTGGTCACAGTGGTGGTGGTCACAGTGGTGGTCACAGTGGTGGTGGTCACAGTGGTGGTGGTGGTCACAGTGGTGGTGGTCACAGTGGTGGTGGTGGTCACAGTGGTGGTGGTTACAGTGGTGGTGGTGGTCACAGTGGTGGTGGTGGTGGTCACAGTGGTGGTGGTCACAGTGGTGGTGGTTACAGTGGTGGTGGTGGTCACAGTGGTGGTGGTCACAGTGGTGGTGGTCACAGTGGTGGTGGTGGTCACAGTGGTGGTGGTCACAGTGGTGGTGGTGGTCACAGTGGTGGTGGTGGTGGTCACAGTGGTGGTGGTTACAGTGGTGGTGGTGGTCACAGTGGTTGGTGGTGGTCACAGTGGTGGTGGTTACAGTGGTGGTGGTGGTCACAGTGGTGGTGGTGGTGGTCACAGTGGTGGTGGTGGTCACAGTGGTGGTGGTGGTGGTCACAGTGGTGGTGGTCACAGTGGTGGTGGTCACAGTAGTGGTGGTCACAGTAGTGGTGGTCACAGTGGTGGTGGTCACAGTGGTGGTGGTGGTCACAGTGGTGGTGGTGGTCACAGTGGTGGTGGTGGTCACAGTGGTGGTGGTGGTCACAGTGGTGGTGGTCACAGTGGTGGTGGTGGTCACAGTGGTGGTGGTGGTCACAGTGGTGGTGGTCACAGTGGTGCTGGTCACAGTGGTGGTGGTGGTCACAGTGGTGGTGGTGGTCACAGTGGTGGTGGTGGTGGTTACAGTGGTGGTGGTCACAGTGGTGGTGGTGGTGGTCACAGTGGTGGTGGTGGTGGTCACAGTGGTGGGTGGTGTTCGTGATGGGTGATGGTGAGTGTAGCGAGTGAGAGTTGTGATTGAGGTGGTGGTGGTGGAGAGTGCACAGACTTAAACACACTCTGGACATAAATGTCTCCATCGTATGGGGATTCTATCGACATTTGACACTCAGTCTTTCCCGTTGAATCCAAATAAGAAAAATGCACTCTGGAATGTTGCTTCTGGCTATGAACATTAAACCGAAACCGCACACCGGTCTCTAAGACGCAACGTGCTCTCGCGTTGCCTCGATCCTCTCGTCTCATTCCACACCCCCCGGTCGTTCACGGCCCCCATTCAAGTAAGGCCCACGGAGCTATAGAAGCTATAGAAGCTATAGAGTGAACACGGCTACACGTGCTGCACGTTAACACGGCTGCACGTGAACACGTGAACACGGCTGCTTTGCGCGTTTCCGACGACTTCTGTTGCCGTTGTCGCTGCGCGCGAGAGAGACGTCGCGCCCCGGGATCAGCGGCGCTGGGGGGGGCCCCGGAGGGGGGGCCGAGTCGTGGGGGCGCGTGGGGCCCCGGGGGGGGGGGGGGCTCTAGTCGTGGGCGCGCGGGTCCCGGCACGCCCGGGGCTCGATGAGCGGTCCCTTGAAGACGCCGCCGAGCCACGTCTCGTCAACCCACGCGCGGCGCGCGGGTTGACGAGACTCGGACGACGGCGACCTCTGTCCGGCCTTCCAACTGAATTGACGCGCCGTCGATATTTATTTATTTATTATAAGAAGTCCGGGCACCGCAGTGCGTCTGCAGCGCTGCCGCGGCGGCGTTGGCGCCTGCGAGCGCGTCTCTCCGTGCCGCTGTGGCGCGGCGCCACGGGAGCGCGGAGAGACGAACGGAGCGCGGAGCCATGCGCGGGTTTGTGGCTCCGATCTGCTTCGACAGCCCGAGAGGTGATTCGAAAGCATCGCACGATCCAAAGCTTCACCGCGCCGCCGATACGCAGCCAATGTCACCGACATCCCCCAAGCCTCAGCAGTGGCCGGTGACTGGCTTCGTGACCTCAACGTGCACACGTACAGCGTGTACACGTACAGCCTCAACGTGTACACGTACACTGTGTACACGTACAGCGCGTGGCTGCTGCTGCTGCTGCCTCCACAGCAGCCTCAGCGCTGTGGAGGCAGCAGCAGCAGCGGCGGCAGCAGCAGCAGCGAGGGTTGGTGGATCACTCCCAGATGTCGTGGAACTCCCTTCCCGTGGGCGTCGAGGAGGTGCCGTGCACCCACCCCCCCCGGCTTGCCAGGAGAAGACAGTGCAGGTGAAGAGACAAAGCGGCCTCCCACGTGGTCCATAGGCATGGGCCAATGCCTGGAACGTCACCTCTATGACGTATGTGTTGAGATGTGTTGGTTCGTTCTGCTTGTGCACAACTGCCAACGCAGCAGCAGCAGCATCACCAGACTATTAAAATGAATATTGGTAATGACCATGTACATGCAACATGTACAGCAGTCGTGTCAATCCACTGCTGGATGAGGGCCTCCCCACGCCTGTGTGGTGGTCATCATCCATCCAAATGCTATCCAGGCTCAAACCCGCTTAGCTTCTGAGCGCTGATGAGACCTGGCACGTTCCGAGTGATTGTGTCATAAGGCGATCGCGGTTTGTAAAATACGTGATGTATAACTCTATAGGCCGCAGGTCTCTGCATATAGCGTAGATCACCAACGGCCATAGATACCCGCCACGGAACTTTAAATGGGCCACATCTGTAGACCAAGTTTCTCTCAAACCATGGCTGTCAACTAAGGATAGAGAATGATGTCATTGGACCTGGCGGGGAGGGGGGGATGGAGGGGGCTGTCATTCTACAAGGCACACATTGTCGAGGAATGCACGACAGCAGACGGGAATTGCGTCGTGCCTGCTTGTTTTTAGACATTACGATAAGATTACCCGGGTGACTCTTGGCATTGCACTTTGGGTGTGGGCGCTGGAGTCTGGAGCAAGGCAGGGAGCACGCGAGACGGCTGGACGCGTCCCCTCGTGTCCACACGTTCTGCGGCCTCGCTGCTCGACCCCTAGCCCAGGGCCTTACATTTCAGCCGGGTCCGTCCGCGGTGGAAATGGTCACCAGCACAACCGGACTGAGATTGGCAGAGATCGCCCGTTCGATCTAATCTCCCGGAGCGACGAGTGAAACGATGCGGCGAGCTTCTTCAATCGCCCCCCGCCTTTTGTCAGGCCACGAGCAGTCAGCACATCGGTGCACCACAGTTGGTGGATGGGCAGGCCACGAGCAGTCAGCAAATCGGTGCACCACAGTTGGTGAATGGGCAGGCCACGAGCAGTCAGCAAATCGGTGCACCACAGTTGGTAGATGGGCAGGCCACGAGCAGTCAGCACATCGGTGCACCGACAGTTGGTAGATGGGCAGGCCACGAGCAGTCAGCAAATCGGTGCACCACAGTTGGTGAATGGGCAGGCCACGAGCAGTCAGCACATCGGTGCACCACAGTTGGTAGATGGGCAGGCCACGAGCAGTCAGCACATCGGTGCACCGCAGTTGGTGGATGGGCAGGCCACGAGCAGTCAGCAAATCGGTGCACCGCAGTTGGTGGATGGGCAGGCCACGCCATGGTGGGTGAGATATGTCGCTCCGGTGGGAGGGAGTCGGCCACACACCCTCGAGATGGGCCCTCGAGATGGGCTCTCGAGATGGGCTCTCGAGATGGGCTCTCGAGATGGGCTCTCGAGATGGGCTCTCGAGATGGGCTCTCGAGATGGGCTCTCGAGAGCTCCTTCTAGTCGAGGCCCTTCTGCCAGCAATGGCCTGAACAAGAAATTGCAGGACTGCACCTTTTACCTTGTACCTTTCCGGATCAATAATACAATAATTATTACCGTACCCGGCACACCACATACACCTTCCGCTGTGATGGTGGCTGCCAATCACATGCCATCCACTCCAGACTACCAGCGACCCAGAACAATCTTTTTAAGTGATATCAATCAAACCCTGACCTGCCCTGACCCGCACCACCCTGACTCACGCTGCCCTGCCCACCCTGACCTGCCCTGACCCGCACCACCCTGACCCCCCCCCATGCCCTGTCCTTCCCTGACCTGCCCTGACCCGCACCACCCTGACCCACCCGGACCTGCCCTTCCCGCCCTGACCTGCCCTGACCCACACCACCCTGACCCACCCTTCCCTGCCCTTCCCTGACCTGCCATGACCCACACCACTCTGACCCGCCCCCCCCTGCCCTGACCTGCACGCGAAAGGCCGAGAGCTGCCCCGTGCGGATGGTCAGCCGACTCGCGTCGCCGGGCAGCGAGCGCAGGATCGGGGGCAGCCCCGCGGCCGAGTCGACGAGGCGGCAGTCGACGAAGAGGCTCACGGTGGCGTGGCCGCCCCGCAGGCCCTCGAGGCGCACGAGCAGCGAGTGCCGCTCGCCGTCGGCCACCGCCACGCGCTGCAGGGTGACGAGGTGAGGCGTCCCGTCGGCCTTGAGGTAGCGCACGGCCGCTGCGCGACAATTGGGGGAGAGATGCGGCCACGAGTCGCCCGCGTTGCGCCCGATGATTCGCGCTTAAGCTATTTTCATTTTACCAGGTAAAGCCCACTGAGCTATGGAGCTCTTTTTCAGAAGCGACATTTATAGCAGCCAGAGTCTGACAGCGAATCTTTCGAGATGTGGAGGGAAAAACCGGAGGACCCGGAAAAATACACGCGACTACGGGGAGAACATCCAAATATACAGCAGACGTCAGAGTCGGTATTGAAACCCACAACTCCCTATATACCAGGCGAGGTAGTTAACATCTCACCACTGCAGCACCCTCACAACGTGAACGAGCGAGCAGTACGCCACCAACACGTGACTCGCCCTTTCACGTAACACAAATATATCCACAGCAAACCCCCAGTTAGCGTCGGGGATGCATTCCTGAAAGGTACAACGACGAATATCGAAACAACGTGAATCAAAGCTGTTTAGAGGGTGAGGTGGAGGCAAAGCCTAAGAAGCGACGGATACGAGAAATGATGGATGGTGCTGTCAGCGACGTGAACTCGGGGTTGAGGCCACCCAAACCAGACAGCGGTGTTAGTGACGACGTAGTTGTGAAACGACGTTGAAGGGGGAGCCGTAGATCGGGGTATCGCTGTGCATACGGGATTTAGACACATCCCGTCAGCCACACGGCCTTCTGAGAGTGCATCATTGCAGCAGAAGTTGGTTCCAATATAATCAAATCAAACTCTGAACCGGCTTTGACACGCATTGCCACATCCGTAGAGTCGGGCGTGCTGATGAGAACCAATACTGCATACTGCGAGTTGTATATATCATAGGGCAAGAACCGCTCTCTGCTATCTTAGTTCGATGCAAAGTCTAAATAATGCAGGACGCAGAATATTAATTCAGCGTCATTGTCCATATAAGTAGCAACACAGTCGTCGGATCTCATAAGCCAAGCAGGCACGAGCCTGGTCACGACTTGGTATTGCGGAATTTAGTTTAGTTTTTATTTTCAAAGCACCTCGTCGTCTTTCAAAGCGATGCCCTTCCAATGTTCCAAGTTCCATGTTCTCGGTGCAAGTGGATTCATGCCGGAACGGGCTGATTCATTAACTCACAGGGGCACCTCATCATAATTCGACTCGCGTCGCCATAAATGTTGGAAACTGATTTATAAAAGTTTATGGAAGGTGGCTTTCTCAAGGTCAATACAGCTGCTGCACTATTCTCACTACGTGAATGTTACCTTTTTTTGCCTTGCACACCAAAAAAAGGGGCTGTGTTTTTTTTTTTATAGAGGCAGGCTATGCAGCACGGTACGTGTCCATTTTTTACGATGGACTTTGAAATTGATGCCGCGATGTTATTCTAACCATCAATCTCGCCGCCTCGTGCGGTGTCTGCTACGGGACCGCAGCCACTGCAGCTGTCGTGGCTGTCCAGACACCACCAATATTTCATTTTTTGAACGGATAAAAATATAGAATTTTTTGCCCGTATCAAAATTATTAAAAACTAAACTATTTTATTTTTATGCTACGCAGCTCTTTCTCAGAAGCGACTGGTTACAAATAATAACTCGACGAAGTGGCTTATCGCGTGGGAATTTAACGCAGCCAAATACTCTAAACGTATGTTTCTAAATGTGGAGGGGAAAAATCCACGCGACCACGGGGGGAACATGCAAACTCCAAATATACAGCAGCAGGCGTCAGGGTTGGGATCGAACCCACAACCTCCATGCATACCGGGCGAGGTAGTTCACATCTCGCCACCGCGGCACCCCTATTGCCAGAAAGTGGAAAGACTCTCCTTTTTTCATCGGATAAAAATGGTAAAAGCGCAGCTCTGATATTTCTTGCTCACGCCACTGCTGTTTTGGCCTACTCTTCCACGCTTTAACCCACAGCAGACGACCTGCCGATTGATTAATTGCGGTGTATAGATTTATACAGCTGGGTAAACAGATGGCCGGTTTTAATTCAAGACATTAGCCAATAATTCAAACTGCTGTGCCAGGAGATGGAATTGAACTGGATTGCACTTTAAGCAGCAAGATATATGCAATATTTTGAAATCTCCAAGAAAGGAAAAAAAATATTAACATACCACTGAATCACCGATCAATTGAGCTCCACACTTCTCACCTTTGTTGACCCTGCCGGCCAGGATAACCTCCAGGTGCTTGGTCCCATTGGCTCGCGAGTAGATCCCGACCAGCGAGCCCCCGGCGTGCGGGGAGAGGCGGAACGCGGTCGCGAAGTTCACGACGTCGTGGGAGCGGATGTCGGCGAGCGCCGCTGCTACGCTCGCGGCCTGGCCCGCGCCGGTCGACAGCAGGTCCACCACTGAGGACGTGGGCACGGTCATACAGGTCCGTGATCACATAGGGTCGGTCCTACATATCCTTCACTGCATTGAGAATATTACATCAATCCCACAGGTTCACTACTGCATTGTCAACATGAGGTCAGTCCGACAGGTCCACCATTGAGAACGTGGGCACGGTCATACAGGTCCCTGATGAGGTCAGTACTGCAGGTTCACTACTTTATTAAGATATGAGATGAATCCCAAAGGTCCATCACTCTAGCAGGAACATAAGAACAATTTCACAGGTCCAGCACTGTATTGACAACATGTGATAAATCCCACAGGTCAACCACTACATTGATAACTTTTAAACTGTCCATAAGGTCCACCAATATCTCCAAAACATTGGAAAAGGCATGAAGTCCACCACCATATTTACATTCTGAAAACCATCCTAGCTGCACAACGACTTTGAAGTCACGAGAACAGACCTTGAGCTCCACCACCGTGACGACATTGAGAACACAACAATCTCAAAGGTCCGTCGGGGATCCCCTCCACATTTAGAGACATGCCTGTAGATTATTTGGCTGCTATAAATGTCCACATAAGCCACTTCTTTGAGCTATCATTTGTGGCCAAGTCGCTTCTAAAAAACGCCTTACCTGGTAAAATAAGATTTTAAAAAGTTTGTATTTAGTGATTTGTTCACCTTTCCTATGCTTTGCACTCCAATCGTGTTTTTGTGTTGTTTGTTGTTGTAACATTTTCACCTGCCCCGACTTGGCAACAGTGAAAACCAGCTGTATAGCTCATCGGACTCCTCCTGTCTAAACTAATATTCTGATCCACCTTGAAGTTCGCCGCCACAATAAGGAGGTGGGGTGGATCCCACGGGTCTCCAACCACGGTGTCGAGGACACGCGAAGCGGTCTCGCGGGGTCAACCACGTGATGAGAACGTCGCGGACACTTTAGAAAAAGGCCTCTCGCCGTCGCAATTCTCAACCAAATCTCAAAACCTTTTTCTTTTTCATCAAAATCTATTTTTTAGTTTCCCGTGACTGACGTAGTTTGCGGAGAGTGAAGGTCGTGGGTCCTGGGGATTCATGAGTGAAGGTCGTGGATCCAAGGGCTTCATTGTGTTCCGCGTGCTCGCGAGAGTGTGCCGCCGTGTGTGTGTATGTTGCCGTGTGTGTGTTGCTGTGTGTGTTGATGTGTGTGTGTTGCTGTGTGTGTTGCTGTGTGTGTGTTGCTGTGTGTGTGTTGCCGTGTGTGTGATGCTGTGTGTGTTGCTGTGTGTGTGTTGCTGTGTGTGTGCTGCTGTGTGTGTGTTGCCGTGTGTGTGATGCTGTGTGTGTTGCTGTGTGTGTTGCTGTGTGTGTGTTGCTGTGTGTGTGCTGCTGTGTGTGTGTTGCTGTGTGTGTGTGTTGCTGTGTGTGTGTTGCTGTGTGTGTGTTGCTGTGTGTGTGTTGCCGTGTGTGTGTTGCTGTGTGTTGCTGTGTGTGTGTGTTGCTGTGTGTGTCTGTGTTGCTGTGTGTGTGTTGTTGTGTGTGTTGCTGTGTGTGTGTGCTGCCATCTGTGTGTGTTTCCGCTGCCGTGAACGCTCGCGGGCCAAGTGACAGGGGACCCTTCAGCCACATTTGAATGCCACCCTTTCTTTGTCCACGCCTCAGCAGAACAACGCTCGCATCCCCCCCCCTCCCCCTACAGGGGGTGGGACGGTCGCTTGGGTACTTATACATTTACGCACGCAGTCTTTACAACACACAATCACAAAGACCCCCCGTATAGCCCTTAACGGATTTTGGGGCAAGTGCTGTTCGCGAGGAGTACCGATGAAAGCCGGCACAACACACGAGAAGGTGGGTGGGCGGCACCATGCCCGGGCCGCCTTTGTCTCCCCAGTACTGATGTTTACACACCACATCACGGACTAATTTTAAGGCTAAGTTGACCTACTGGAGGCCACGGACCGGTTCAAATATTTGCCTCTGTTTTGTCCCGTGAGTGGGAATCAAACTGTCCACTCCACTGCCTCTCTCTCTACAATACAACACACACACGCATTATCATCATCAACTATGATCAATCCACTGCTGGACGAAGGCTTGAGCAAGCCACCGCCATCTCTCATGGCCATGAGACGCGGCACTCCACCTTGCACACACGAGCTGATGTTCTCCTTCCATCTCCCAGGCGGACGTCCTCCTGGGCACGTTCCATCCGTGGGCTGCCACCCTCTCACTATGCCAATCGTCATAATGATGTCCATAACCTGCGCGTGTGTTCTCTCAGCGTACATCTCTCCACGCTTCTCTGTAAACTTTACATTCTTAGCAAACTTTACGAGAGAAGTCACAACAGCAAATGTGGACTCCATCTGTTCCACGTGTATGGGATAGTGATGCTTCTGTCGCACGTGTGCGTTTTCTCCACTCATTCATTAGCAGGAAACATCTTAATATGTAGAGGACCGCAGAGCTACGGCAACTGTTGGTCGCACTAGCTCGTCTGCGGTTCTTCCTGTGCGCCGTTGCGTTACGCGTTTACATTACTATCATTATTATCCAGCAGTAATTTTTTTGAATAATGCATTCTGCGGATGAAGCCTGTTATACAATTCCTGCTGAGATGCCATGCAGATGCTATTGGCAAGAGCACTTTGTTACTGCACAATAAGGCAGAAGAGTCTTTCACATATATACATACTGTATATATTACGATTTAAACTGTGGTTTGTTTCAATTTGCGTATGAATGCTTCCGAAGTATACAATGCGTGAAAACTAATTGTTATACATCATATGCGTGTGGGACAAGAGTCTTACATCTGAGCCCCGAATCGGATGCATCGCACCTGCAGTGGAACCCCCACAGAACACTGCATCGGTACCGTTCTCACTGACTGACGCCACCACATCGCACTGACTCACCCTCTTAAAGATCCCTCTCATCTCACTCGAGTCCCCTCCACGCACTCTCCTACCTCCCCCCTCTCATCTCACTCTACTCCCCTCCACGCACTCTCCTACCTCCCCCCTCTCATCTCACACAACGCACTCTCCTACCTCCCCCCTCTCATCTCACTCTACTCCACGCACTCTCCTGCCTCTCCTCTCTCATCTCACTCTACTCCCATTGACATTCTCGACGTAAAACAACATGGACACAACATGTATACAACATGTATACAACATGTAAAACCACATGTAATACAACATGTAAAACAATATGCAGCATGCAAGTATTCTTACACAACCCATCGGCCGCCCGGCCTTCCTCCTGGGAGTGGATACTTTCAGCGGCATTGATTCAAGACAAGCAAACGCTGTGGATGCCAAGCGAAGGCCGAGCCGCGAGTTCACGCGGCAGTGTTGGGGAGAGAGAGAGAGAGCCGCGCGCCGGCTCCTGGCGCGTGCGGGACGTTCAGAGCGGAGCCGGCGACGTTGTCGATTCCGCCCCCCACTCGGTCATTCACCCCGGACGCGGTGAGCGGGGAGCCTCCCGCCGGGTGACGCGGGGAGAAAAACACGAGACCCTCGTGCTTGCACCCCGACACACTTCACCCCGGGAAAACAACAACAACAACACGGGAACAACGCTCGACACACACAGCACACATCTCCTGCACGCACGGGACGAGTCGTCGCCACTCCGAGGATGGATTTCCGTCACCGCTAAAGCCGCTTAACACAGAGAGAGAGACCGAGAGAGATCTCGTGCTTCCCGTGTTGAAGCAGCGCGCAGGCAATGATCGTGTGGTGTGTGTGTGTGTGGTGTGTGTGGTGTGTGTATGTGTGTGGTGTGTGTGTGTGGTGTGTGTGTGGTGTGAGTGTGGTGGTGTGGTGTGTGTGGTGTGAGTGTGGTGGTGTGGTATGTGTGGTGTGAGTGTGGTGGTGTGGTGTGTGTGGTGTGAGTGTGCACGCGGCAGATTTAAGCTACAGCTCCATTCGCAGGGACCTGCGACCTCGTCATGTTGGCAGAGACACGACAGCGCCACACAGGAGTGCCACTCACCGGAGAAGTTCACCTCCGTGGTTGTGGTGACCCGGGAAAAAGCTGGGCAGGAATGGATCAAAAGCGCCAGCAGGAGATACATCACCATGGCCTCAAGTTTAGAAGTGTCTCTGTCGCTAAATACACAGCGAAAAATATATGTGAGTAAAATTATATGAATATTTAAATTGACCGACAACTTCGCCTGTCACTGCTGGACTAGCAGAGCAGCGGAGTTTGTCAGACACCATCAACATTCCACGGAATGCTGCCGGGAGACTGCAGCAGCAGCAGCAGCAGTTCTGAGCGATGTTTGCAAAGATCAACAAGGCTCGAAGGGAGGTTATAAATCAACTGCCGAAAACCGCCAATGGATTTTCTCTCTCTCTATATACATACGGTATCTCTCTATATATATACGGTATCCCTGCAACAGCCCATATCTCACTCGGAAATATTAAAAGGTGGGAGGGATCAAGCTCGTGAGTGAGTTGAGCTTGATACAAAATAAAAAAAATTCCGACACCCACATAAAGGCGAGGTCTGTGTCTGCCGTGCGGGCCGCGTGGGTGCGACGGGGCTGCTGCTGCGAGAGGCGCATTGCCAGCGCCCCCCCCCCGCTGCCGTCAGGGCCCGGGGGAGCAGAGCCCGGCCAGCTGGCACGGCACGGCGCGCATGCACAGTCGCGATGGCTTCGTCAGGAGGGCGAGATGCGTGCGGCGTGTCCACTGCGGGCCGCTCGGGATTTCAGGTGTGGCCTTGCCGAGCTAATGGATAACGGCGCAGAAGACGAGAAGGCTTCATGTGTGTGTGCGTTGAACTTCTTTCGCGCCGCACGTAGCCAACCGCGCTCATCGGAGATGCGGGGGAAGGACAACAAACTAAACACAAAAATCGGTTATATAAAAAAAACGAGTTTTCAATCAGGAGATGCATTTACGCGCTGTGCCCTGGGGTAGCACAGGAGGCATTGACATCCGTCCGGACGGCGTAAAGACCACCGGCCGGGTTGGTGCGAGGGCCACGTGTTGGGAACACATGCGGGAGAATCGACAGGAATGCTCGAATTGCGTGGAGGCTTTTGCGGAGGTTTAATTTCACCGCTCACATTTACGCCACAGTCGGTGCAGCGACCTGGCAGCAGATGTGGTGGGTAGGACAAGGGAGACGCACGGAGGGAATGGCAGGTCACTGCAACAGGATTCGGAGTGGCCTCCACCAGTCCGGCGGTCACAATGAGAAGATCTGAGAGCAGATAGTGGAACGAGACCGTGGAGGCAGAGCTTGGAGGTGGCTGTGTGTCTCCCGTGGGATCTGGCAGAGGGCGGAATGAGTTGGTGGTGGTGAGGTGGTGGTGGTGGTGGTCTCGATGGCTGGGGGCCGTGATGATGGCGTGATCGTGATGTTGAGCTGCAGCTCGGCTCCCCTACGTAGAGGAAATGTGGGGGAACTTTTGTCTGGGATGCCGCACAGACTGTTGAGGTGTCACTCCTGTCGTGGCGATTGCTCTGATTTTGTCAGATGTTTCACCTCCGACTAGCACGGTTGGCTACGTGCGGTGCGAAAGAAGTTCTACATTCATACATCAATATGTAACGTGGTGTCTCCCTGAGTGGCAATGGAGGGGGCACTGCCACATTTTGTTAAGATAATATTCCGAAGAAAATGATTAAAATGCAGTCGCATGATCTCGACGCCGATTGCATTATGCTTAAATATACAATCGTCGTACCAAGTTGCCGTAGTTGCTCGTAGTAACAAGTGTTTCTGGTAACGAGTGAATGACAACGATTGCCATCAAAGAGCCCCGGAATGGCACCACGGGCTCGAGGGCCTGGCACCAAGCGCGGATGTTGGCCGAGCTGAAGCAGTGGCGGTCGTGCAACGTCCGCCACGGTGATGATGGACGGTGATGATCATGATCATTCTCGAGCGTGGTGGGCCCTGGCTAGTCGACTGCGACTGCCGCGTCCACTGCCGGGGACGATTTGCGAGCAGCCATTGCCCTGGAATAGCCGCCAGGCCTCTCAACGCGCCGGTCACAGGGATTGCTTGGCCATGCTTCACCACGCTGGTCAGAGTGCGAGAAGAGTGGGGGGCCCCGGACATGTTCAGATGTCACTACCACCAGTGGCAGATCCACGGGGGGGGGGAGGGGGCAGTCGATGGGACCCCCAAAAATTGCTGTTTTATTAACACGGCAATACCCCGTTTACGTCTCTCCCTTTAACGTCGTTTCTCGCAAATACGTCGTCACTTTAGTAGCACCGCGACCTGATTCGCGTCGCCTCAGCCCCACACTTACATCGCTGACGGCACCGTCCGTCCTTTCTCGTATCCGCCGCCTCTCAGCCTTCGCCTCCGCCACCACCGACCGCTGTAATAGCTTTATTTGACGTCGTTTCGATATTCGTAATCGCACCTTTCAGGGACGCATCCCCGATGTAAATCAGGGTATTACCATAGTGCATTTACTACGACAAACGCATTGACGTGTTTCATTATAAAAATTTAAACAGCTTAACATTTCCCGACCGTCTGTTGATGATGCTGCTACTGCTGATGATGCTGCTGCTGGTGCTGATGATGCTACTGCTGATGAGGATGCTACTGCTGATGATGCTACTGCTGATAATGCTGCTGGTGCTGATGATGCTGCTGCTGATGATGTTGCTGCTGTTGCTACTGCTGCGGATGATGCTGCTACTGCTGATGATGATGCTCATGATGATGCTGGTACTGCTGATGATGACGCTGCTGCTGATGCCTGCCTGCAGTGGCAAATGCAATTCTACATAGGCTCGACACCGCTGAACTTGCCTTTGGCTCTAAGTATTTTGACATTTTCTTAAAATAGGCTACATTGATGGCGGCATTGAATGACCCAATGGAGCTGAAACATTACAATTAATTCGTATCAATGATACTCACATTCCCTCGTCAGCCAGTGTGTTACAGCTATAAGAGTATTATTCATAGTTGTGTGTGTATGTCGCCGTGTGTGTATGTCGCCGTGTGTGTATGTCGCCGTGTGTGTATGTCGCCGTGTGTGTATGTCGCCGTGTGTGTATGGCGTCGTGTGTGTATGTCGCTGTGTGTGTATGTCGCCGTGTGTGTATGTCGCCGTGTGTGTATGTCGCTGTGTGTGTATGTCGCCGTGTGTGTATGTCGCCGTGTGTGTATGTAGACATGGGCGGTGGCTACGCACGTTGCCTGTAACCCAGCACTGGTGGAGGCAGTGGGATTGGTGGATCACACAAATGCAGTGAAACCTCCTCTTTGTCAGCGTTGCGGTGTCATGCCCTGCGCTTGCCGTGTTCAGGAGGCACAGCAAGTTGACTCATTTCCATCGGTATTCTATCTGTACGGGATAGAGTGTTGCCCCCTGGCACGTGAGGGGTTTCTCCCACGTGTATAATAAACGACTGAGATTATGGACTCATAGATTGACTGAAAACATCTTGACATGAAACCCCATTGTTGCTGGATCCTCAAAAGGAGTAATTGGCCTCGGTTTGGCTTTGCTGGATAAATATATTAATACTGTTCGTATTATATAGACGGGATGAATCCTGCTTTTATCGTAGGAGAATGTCTTTCGCATGTGCAGCGGCGTGTCGACGACGATGATGATGATGGCTTTGCCGCGTGTGGTTAGGCAAGAGAACGCTGCTACTGCTGCTGGCACATCGATGAAATTCCTGGCTTTCTGGCACGGTTATTTATTTATTTATTACGTTGATACAAACCATTAAAAATGGGCCTTGTATCTCACACGCACGTGTGCGCTGCAAACGCGAAACTAGGAAACCACTTCCCACGCCACGAAGATCGTGTATCTCGAACGACTGCGCGTCTCCATCGCTGGGCGCAGGGAAATGATCTCGGAAGCTGCTCCGCTTGTCTTTGGAGACTTGTGATGTTTAATGTAGCCTTGGGGATCCGTTTAGCGATCAATATCAAGCACTGTCGCTAATGGAGTGGGGGGAGGGGTTAATTGGAGTGATTATTTCTCCCCTTCTGGGATTAAGGTGGAGAGATTATTGAAATCTGTCTCACTGCAGAAAGGGGCTCAGCGCCGATGCTCATATCGCGATCTCGTGTCGGTGCTAATTAAGTTCGAGCTCAATCAGTGGAGGGGGAACAGCGATTCCGATCTCTGACGAGCTCTAAACACTTCGCCTCCATCATTACCATCTTCTTCATCGAGAGATACCGACACCTCTTCAGGGTTGGCTGCGTCAGCGTGCAGCCTCTGTGCGATTGTGGCGACGCGCTTTGCACGGTGGTGACACTTGTGGTGGCTCGCAGCAAGACGCCCCTGGGTTCGAGTTACATCTGCGGCGACTTTCTACGTGGAGTTTGTTGTATGCGAGGGGCGACACCTTATCCCAGAGAGACGGAACAAGTGGAGGCCACACTTGCTGTACTGGGTGCTGCACCTCCTAGACACCCAAGAAAGGGTGAACGATGACCATCGCTGTGATCCACCAGCTCTCACCATCGACAGTGCTCGATGACGCGCGTATCATCGCCACCACCGCCCGGCTACAGACATCGGTAAAGCCGTTTATGAAAGGATGAGGATGGAAATCGGAGAACACAGCACAAAGGTTATTGAAGATATCATAATAAACAGTGGGAGCATGAACGCCGAGAGAGGTACATTGATAATTGGTAAATCACACAAGTTGGCTCTAAGGTGGAACCCGTTGTTCATGAGTGAGCGAATCTCAAAACGATGCCGAACTTTACAGAAAGAAAAGTTCTCGTACGGTGCAGGAGAAAAGAGATTTGTTATGCGAGGGTGACGATGGCGCAGATTGTGACAGCTGGACACTACCAACACATTGGGACTAGCTACTGAAACAGGCTTCGCGTGCCCACTGCGGTGATACATCATTGGTTTGTTGAGTTTGGTCGTGTCAGTAGACGGAGACCCTCTGCCACCGGACACAGGCAATCGGTAAAGTTGTCACGTGAGCATGGACAAGTTCGTGCTGCTCCAGCGCACCGGTGAATGTTGGGGGGAAATTCACAACATTTGGCTCTTTTGTTGTTGCTTTCGGAGAAACGTTGTTTCACGGCTTTATTTTAAATGTAATGCAACCCCCACTCGAGGGGTTATCAAAAGCATTGATATTTCTCTCCAAAACACCGGTGGTGCTGCTGAAGTAGTCACACATCGGCCACATTTGCTTATCACGTGACAACTTTATGAATTGACTGAGTCTGGTGGAGGAGGGATTCACGACATACATTTTACGTATGCGGCGATTTGACCAACACAACTAATTATGAATCGTGTTGGTCACGAAAGTCTGCGCGTGTTACATTGCGCCTACGACGGTGTTAACAAATTATTTGTCCAGAAATGAAATATCTCAATACTTGCACGATGTTCAGTCGCCAGTGATGGTGCCCCATCGCAGGGACTCGAACTCAGGCGGCTAAGGTTGACAGTGTGGCGGGACGACCACCGCGTCGCCACGGCTCCAACGCCTTCTGTTGAGTTGCGTCAATGTTATTTAGTAATCGTCGCGTGTCACTTTCCTGCTGCTCGTCGCAATG